ACAAACTGGCAGTTATTTGCGTGAAAACAATGATATACATCTTATTACTTCAACCTTTAACTCTGTAATACGAGGCATATTGTATTGTATAGACTAGAGAGGTACAGTCCACAGATAATACAGTGGCTGTCCAATAGTCACGTTCTGGTTATAAAAGCAACGGTTCTACAACTAATTATTTGAATGACTCTTATTCTTTGGAAACTATTCGAAGATTTGTTTATGTATTTGCGACATATTGCTTGAAAGGATTTGATGACGTCAGCCGTTGTTAGGTAATTTTATGAACAATTGCAGTAATGTGCAAATTGGTTTAGCGATTTTGAGAATTGTTGTAAGCTTTGTAAGGTTGTGATATAAATAAAAATATGAAATATATGACGTTCCAATATACATATTTAACTAGCAGTGGCTTGTATCGGTTTCAGAATTATACTTCCCGACTTTTTCACTGAATTGTTTACTTTTATAAACCCTACTGCTAGCAAGATGCGTTTTTTTTTTCATCATCATCATCATCATCGAATGATTTCTCCCGTCTGGGTGAGGCGGGAGGAAGTGTCAGATTCTTACTGACTAAAGACCACCCCGTTCCATCTCCTGCACTTCGAGCCGGAGCTCCGGTAACCCGTTAGGTTCTCCGCGACTCAGAATCGGCATCAGCCCTATTGGGCCTCATCCGTGGTGGTCTGATGGCTCTTTGAGGCGCGCGCGGAACGCGACGCGCCGTACGCTCGGGTGCGATTAGCGACACATTTTGCAATTCAGTTTATATAATATTTTTAATAATATGCTTGACATAATTTACTGTGTTTACTTTTAATCAACCAACAAACAAATCATATGATGATTATGTAATCATCAGTTGACCAGACACTTTAATTTTAACATCAATATTTACTGACAATTTAATACTGATACGCAAGCAACACGCCATCAATCTACTAACCTACAATCCAGATGTGTAGACAACCCTATTGTATGCTAAAATCCGATTTAATTGTCGCGTATGTGACTGACAGGGTTGTCACAACTACCAAGAGATACTCAAACGTTTTAGGGCTGTCAAAACTAGCGAGAGTAGTGAGAGCTGCTCAAGTTTTCAAGACGATGGGAGTAGTTTCTTAAACATCCTGAGCTGATGTTATTGTTAAGTAATACAATTGTGACGTCACTTGTGTTGAGTGTTTAGATTCGGTGTTGTATATTGTTTTGGTAATTGCTATGTTGATAAGTTAAAGTGTCGCAGATTTGTGCTCATGAAAGTGATGTTGAAACAAATGCCAATCGAGAGTGTTTGTTTCATCATCTTATAGATAGAATACTTGACAGTTTACTACTGGACTACAAAGATTCTACTAAAAGATAATTTGTCATTATTTCATCTTTCTGCTTGCTTGGTATCTTATACTATGATCTTATATCTTATACTATTATATAAAGGGGAAGTTTTTTTGTTTGTTTGTTTGAACGCGCTAATCTCCGTAACTACAAGTCTGATTTGAATAATTCTTTTGTGTTGGATAGCATATTTATCGAGGATGGCTATAGCCTATAAAACATCACGCTACGACCAATAGGAGCTGAACAGAGCGTATGAAACCGCGCGGAAGTAGCTCGTTAGCAATATTTGTTAAGTGAAAGCTGTATATCCATTGTAAGTGCTACAAATGCACTTCTGCACACTTCAAAGTGTAACAGAAATGGTGATGTTTTTGCATAATATCACATTATTGCATTATGAGGCAACCCTAATCTAAGAAACCGTTAACACCTACATGCGGTAGACAGTAGAACTACTCTTAATATTAATGTCAATCATAAAGTATAAATACATTAACTGATTGTTAAACTTTTGCATTGTTGTATCAAATTATAGGTACCTACTCTCAGATAACGGTACTGTCTTACTGACTACCTAAGTGGCCCATTCATTTGAGATGCATCATATACAATCATCGAATTACAAGATCAATTACCTATAATATTTTACAATTATGTTTAAGAATAAAGTTATACTTAGCACATGAAACTTCATCACATACATGGCAATGTGATCAAAATTCTTGAGGGAACTTCTAACTTTATTAACTTCTTTAACTATCCTAGAATCAAAGTCTGTATTACAATCTGATAATCTAAATCTTTATATATATAATTCTTCTGTGAGTGTGTATGTCACTGAACTTCTCTCAAACGACTGGACCGATTTCGATGTTTTTTTTGTGTGAGTTCAAGGGGATCTGGGAATGGTTTAGATTCACAAATCAGCCCGGCAGATTGGGCCGCAGTTGATGAATTCAAAGGTGACTGACTGACATAGTGATCTATTAATGCCCAGCCGAAACCACTGGACGGATCGGGCTGTAATTTGGCATGCAGGTAGATGTTATGACCGAAGCAGAAGTTATTATTCTACGCGGACGAAGACGCAAGCAACAGCTAGTGCATGATAATTGTCCCAAATTGTCCCGAGATAAAATTACTTTTTTTAACCCAAATTATAAGTAGGCTATCTAATAAGGTCTGCCAGGTCAGCTTGTTTATATATATTATATACTTCGTATAGTAAATACAGATAAATCATTATATCTCTACCAGCACACAGATTATTTTTTCACTGCAATATCTTATCTCTCGTTAATCCCGTATCTGGCTTAACCAACAGTTATCTGCGCACGATAGGGATTTAATTCTGACCAATATTGACTTGTTAATGTCCACACTTAATCTGTTACTGATAAAGTTGAAACAAGAAATTATTTCTAGCGATGACCAGTACCAGATTGCTTTTAAACTAAATGTCCGTTCTACTGAATAAAGCTCCATTGTTTTCGTCTCGACTCAAGGGCATATTATCTTCTCGAAAAACATTTTCTTTTACCCAAAATAACCTTAAAATAAAAGCACCAACCATAACCATCTTGTACAAAACACGGCTAAGTATCTACTTCCACCGTTACTTCAGAACTCAAATATTAAAACATCATTTTTAATCTTTGGATATTGCGCCTCCTTTAAGTCGTAAGCCTCTCAGAGTGCTCGTGACGTCATTGAGGTATTTTTCCGATATTCCCACGGCTCAATATTACTTGAATACCCTGTCGAACGATATTACCTGTGAGGCAAGATTCTGTGACGTACTAAACTTTGAAGTGTAAGTATTGTAAAATGAAATGTTTGTAAAATGCATGAAATAGAAACATTATCTATTCCATTGAAAAATGGCACATGTATCTAGGTAATATACACTGTTAGAATATACTTACTTACTCGTAATTTTGTCTGTAATCATTTCTTTCACGTTAACCTAGTCCATCGTCATTGTCCATCAGACAATCGCTTTCCAATTCATGGAAGCACAAAAAAGATTATTAACAAATTGTTTTTACGAGATACTAAACTATTAAAGTCTATATCCACTACACCTCACCTCGATATAACTTACACAAAATGAATGTTGCTAACAGTAGTAGCAGTTATAGTAGTAGTACTTATAATGTATAAGCACTCGTGCTTACCATTCGAGTCGCAAAAGCTAATTGCACAAAAATAACAGTCATAGTAAAACATTGAACCGGGAGTTTATCGTCACGTTTAGCTTGTAAAACAGAGAAATCAGGCTGGCTAACAGTAGGAACTAGTTCACAACATTGCAATAGACTTAGCACGCCATTGAAATACCTATTTAACCATGCAGTACCACTGTAACACAAGCGAAAAAGTTATATACAACATGTAACTTAAATAACGCACATCCTGAAAATAGTTTGTTCAGAATCGTTAACTGAATCGATTTATATGTATAATTTTTAGTATAGGTAATTATTCATCCCAAATATAATTAAAACTACGGAAATTATTGTCATATTAACCCTGTATTGTTAAAACAAATCGAAATGGACCGTAAGTCAAAGCAATAAGATGTTTAAAATCGCAGTTTTATTTGTATTCATACAAATTCTATCATTCAATACAAAATAATGAAAAATAAACCTTACGACAAGACCAGTAAGGATGCTTATACATACATGTTAAATTAAAAATTTAGTGTATGTATTATGATTATAACATAATATTCTAATTGGGGTGTTTGAGGGTGTGCGTTAATTACGTTACATGTTGTATATATATTTTTTTATATTTGATCGACCGACGTTTGACCACTATCTCGCCTGGTGGCAAGCGATGATGCGGTTTACTATGGAGCACGTCGTCCCATAAGCAACCTATTCATATTAGTCTCGCAAGTCTTGGTCTCATCATACGTATTTTTCAGAAGTGATAGAACATTTTAGATACTTAGGTATGTCCTCTTATAAAATTATCAAAATTGATTTATCTGTTCAGGAACAACGATGCCTTGATCGACAAACAGATATTGACGTCAAACATTCTAACACCTTTCTTACGCCGGGACTTAAATATATCTTGTACATAACTTCAAGTTAAAACTAGATGCATTGGCTTTAACTAGAACCATGCACTACTTACGAAGTTCCACACAAAAGCATTATATAGGTACAACATACAAGAAAATGGAGTACAGAATAAAACTTTACCAAGCAATTCTTAGCCAACTTTTCTAAAGTATTTTCTCTTGAGGCAAGTCGGGAACTGCATGAGAAAACCTTGTGGTTAATAATAAATAATAATAATTAAACGTCCTATCCTTTTACAACAACATTTTTCTATTACAAGATTTTTGTAATCTTTTTAAAAAACGTTTAACCTCTGGTGTTTCTACAACGCGGATCCACGCGAGACACATTGTACCTATTTTTTATTGTGTCTCATATCGGTGCATTCAAGCGGTTAATATACCTACAGGATTTCTTTAAATTATTTCATTGCGACCAAAACATTTATTAAAAACTACGAAGCATTCAGAAGCCTTACGAGTAAGTACGAGTTTATTTTACGTTTAAAGTAATCGCAACGAGTACGCGTTTGGCGCTCTGATTGGTTGCTTCATTGGCGCCGGCCAATCAGAGTGCCGAATGCGTACTCGTTTCGAATACTTTATAGCTGGAGACCCAGTGAACCCTGGGAGTAACGGTCTCCCTGTAAGGTTAGAATTTTGTATACTTACGATTTATGGTATTCTAAGAGCAATAGCCATGACCTGGCAGGAGTCAGCCCTGCACGTCATCAGCCCCTTTATTTTTTGAACTGTTAAGTAAATTGGGTTTCAAAACTTGTTTCTGTAAATTTGAAAATTTAGAATCTAACCTTACAGGGAAATTTAGAATCTAACCTTACAGGGAGACCGGTACTCCCAGGGTTCACTGGCTCTTGGACTATTAAAAGTACCTATATCAAACTCGTACTAAGGCCTCTGTGCGCTATTTCTTCCTTCTTTAAAAGTTCTGCAAAATGACAGTCTCTTCGTATCTTTATAAACCATTTGCTGCACATCGATCATTTTAACATGTTCATGTTGGAACAATTTCTAAGTTAGCGCTATGTGAATCCTGTTCAGCTATAACTTATGCTAGTCTTGTTACGTTAGACACTTGTGCGATATATCATGCCTGTTAATCTGCAATGCATTGTATTCTAAACAGTGGCTAACTTGCACTGTGTACACTACACTTGAAGCCAGAAAAAAATGCAATCCATCACGGATTTGTTGCGTTTTACCGTGCTCTGCAAATGAATTAGGTTTGCTAGCGAATAGAAAATAATAGGTAACATTTTCAGCTCAGTAATCCAGTTACCTATGTGTATTATTGTTTTGTACAAAGCACGTAAGAATTCAGCTAAATTTCGGCAAGAATCAAAGTTAGAGTTACATTTCGAAACACCATCAAGCCACACTTAAATTGTGAACAATCTTCTAATTTTATTACCTTAACAGTCAATCAAAATAAATTTAGACCTATAAAACAGGCACTGAGCGCCACAAAAGCGCCGCACAATCAGAATTTATAGCCAACTAGTTCGGAATAATCATTCAAAATCTAAGATCTCAATCGTAGAAATGAAACAGCATCGTAATTAGTAAGAACATTATCATCGTTACGTCCTAAGTTCGTTAGTTCATAAATAACTTGAGTCGGTTCATTTATAAGGTGGTATCAGGGTATGCGACCTGCAGCTTTGCAGCAATCTGTTCCGGCTGGCGAGCCTCTATCAATCCTGGTGTCACTGCTAATATATCTTGCTTCGTTAGCCCGGAGCCAGTCAAGCCAATGATTTGTTTGCTCGGACTGAATGCTCGTTATAACTTTTCCAAAAATAGCGCTTTTCTCTCGGTTTTTCTGCGTTTGTGATAAATTGAATGTTTTGCACTGTTTCTGGGAAAATTTTTCGTAACAATGTACTATTTTATTCTACTGTGTGATACTATTTTAGTCCTAGTTCATAACGTAGGTAAAGATATAGGTTAGTGGTGTGGATAGACACATTAATAAAAAGAAAAAAGCATATGATTTATTATCTTTCAATATTTATTTCTTAGAAAAATAAATTGATTTTGTATATAGAAGACACAATAGCTAGCAGCAATTCCCATTACCTCTAAATTCAAAGGCAGAGCACACCCACAAAATCAGCATAAATCTCATAACACATGAATAGCTTGGCCAGTCATTTATAATCCTCACCTCTCACTTTTTGCACATCCAATAGCTTCAGTCACTCGTCCATTGGTCCATCCTTTTGATGTTAATCGTATGCCGCGTTTAAAACGAGAGATCATTAAACACAGTCTGTGGCCTCCACGGCTATATAGCAGTTATGACGTCATAAACACCATAGACTAAATTGAGTCGAGACATTAGTGTTTGTAATTAACTCGGAGTGAGATTGCAGTTGTTAGGAACCTTTTGTTCTTTTAAAGACCAATCTAAGCTGCAAATGGATTGGCGTTTTGTTTGTGTAAAGTTTAACATTGATTTTTGTTTTAAATAGCACTAATTAAGAGGACAATATAATGGTTAAACGTGTATTAAACATAAAATGCTTATTACAATACCGCAAACTGTTCCATTACACATAGGTAACTGAATCAAAGCAACCTATTGATTGAAAATGTAATTAACATGTTTTGTCTCTTAAGGTATTATAGGAAATTAATTACTCGATTTCGAATACATACGGGATTCCAGAATTACTGTTTCAGCTTTGTACAATTTCAATTTATCAGTGGAAATTCAATGAAGTACTTATTCAGTAACGTTGTAGCGGTTGGTGTTCAATTTATTTGAATAATAATTAAGTGCGTGTTCTCACTGAGCGCTTTTTACGTAGGTATCTTCTTTATTGAAATTTTAATTTTCCTCTACATACCCCTTCATTTAACAGTTTCCCACAGTATCAAAGAAAATGTAGACGGACGACCAACTTGAGTAGATATTTTCTTAAGTTAAAAACAAGTTGTGTTGACTTTTTAATGCAATAATAATAAAATAAGTAAATGTTAAAAATAAAATATATTACACTGTCATAATTTTCGTATTTTTGTACCTAATTTTAAAACAATAAATAATACCTACGTAAACAATTATTTCATTTGATTATGTACCTACTTGAAAAGACGTGAAACCATAAACAAATCCGCCATATTCAAATTAATGTCAAAAGTTCATTGCCACTATTACCATTGCAATGTAGCGGTATATCTGGCTTTCATTTCACCTGAACACGCGTTAAACTAATTAGTAATCAAGATTAGCACCAATAACTATCATGTTAAGCTGTTTACACTGTAATTAAATGATTGATATTATACAGTCTCGGTAGCTATTAGTTCACAGATAAATTGTTCCCATCTATTGATAGTTATTCATCACTTTTGCATACGTGCACTATTAATTTTGTTCAGATAACTTCAGAATATAATTAATGTGTTGTGGTTATGCTGATTTATTATAGGTTATGAATGCGAGGAAGCGTTTTTAAACATAGATCAAACTTATTTTAGAATTTTGAAGGATAATTAGGACATTATTTTTAGCATCCAATAGGCCACAACAATAATGTGACGTTCGAGTGTACAATTCTGAAAAGTTTTTATTTAATCATACACTGTTTTATCTAATTTGTCGAAGATTTAAATGGAAAACTCAATATATTCAGAATAGTATGGTCCATATAAGGACTATACACACATATGAACGTGTATGAACGATTGAACCCAAATGAGCACTCCAATATCCTCAAAGGGTAATAGGCAACGAAGGTTCAATGTCAAGTGTTATCTATCGATTTCCAAATAACGGATGGTTCCCCAGACACTTATAGACATGCAAATATCTGCTCTAATGTATTACTTTAGTATGGCCTTTCCTCCATTACGTTTTATTGGCTTATTACGATAAACTATGGAACATAATAATGAACTTACACACGGTAGGAAATATTTAAAATTAAAGAAATGTCTCCAGTATTTAATGTAATTCGAATTAAAACAAATAAATATGCTATCCATCTGTCATTTAATCCCGAACACAAAATTAAGTTATTTATATTGGATTAGTACTAGTATTAGTTTCCTAGGTCAAAAATATATTGGCAAAAAAAGCACACGGCCCACCTCATGGTAAGCGGTTACCGTGGCCTGTGTGGGCTTGCAACACTTGGGGCATTACATGTGCCTTGCCGAACCTTAAAAACCTATTTACTCCCTTCTTGAAGAACCATATGTTGTAGCCTACTGGGAAACCCACGGCAGGGAAACCACGTTCATTCTTAAATCCGAGGGTATTATCAGTTATGCTGTTTGACGCAAAATTCGTAGAAAATATTTTTTGACATTTCGATAAAACTACATATTGAATTTGACTAGTATAGTGCCCACAATGTTTTTTTTTTAGTTTCGTCTTACTTCCGAGTTATTTTCATTGCTTATTTCTTACTAGCTACTTCCGCGCGGTTTCACACGCCCTGCTCAGCTCCTATTGGTCGTAGCGTGATGTTTTATAGCCTATAGCCATCCTCGATAAATGCGCTATCCAACACAAAAAGAATTATTCAAATTAGACTTGTAGTTACGAAGATTAGCGCGTTTAAACAAACAAACAAAAAAGCAAACTCTTCCGCTTTATATAATAGTATAAGATTAGCGAGTTAGTCCCAATACAAGTGGTGCTCAATAGGGCCGATGCCGATTCGGAGTCGCGGAGAACCTAACGGGTAACCGGGGCTCCTGCTCGACGTGCAGGAGAAGGAACGGGGTGGTTTTTAGTCAGTAAGAGTCTGACACTCCCTTCCGCCTCACCCAGGCGGGAGCAGTCACTCGATGATTTTCCCCCTTAAAAAAAAAAATACAAGTTTTAGTAAATTACTTATCGGGTTTGCCTCAAAATCATACCTAGTTTTTTTAATCTTGATACAATCAATGCAGTTTGATTTGACATATTAATTAGTGAATTTTGGTCCTGTATCAAATCACTAACGTGTAAACTCTCTTTGTTTCCAGGAATTAAAAGAAAGCTTCAACTATGGTCTATTCTGCCCACCAGTCAACGGCAAGGCCGGCAAGTTTCTCGACGAGGAACGACGCCTCGGTGACTACCCCTTCAACGGACCTGTTGGATATCTTGAGGTAACTAACAAAAAATGTATAATAAGTTACTGTTTTTTAGACAAATAGATGTTGTAATAGTATCTTATTTTAAACAATTAAATATTCAGTCGCATATTAAGTCGGTGTAATAGGTACCCACTTATCCTTACTGATATTATAAATCGGAAAGTGAGTTTGTTCCGCTTTCACGCCATAACTACTAAACCGATTGCTTTGAATTTTTGCAGATGTATAGTTAGAAGTCCGGATTAAATAATAGGGTACTTTTTATCCCGGAAAAATTTAATATTCCCGAGGGAAAACAAAAGTATTGGTACAGATGGCGCTGTGTATATTGGTATATGTCACATTGGCTTTTTATCCTTTTGTGACGCGAGCAAAGCCGCGGGTAAAAGCTAGTCTAACATAAGTGGAAAACTGTTTACCTACTATTCCTCTTAAAACTAATATTTGTTTTGTTTTAACCCACTAACTTACTTTTTTACAGTTAAAATACAAACGGCGGGTATACAAAATGCTGAAGCTTGACGAGAAGACGTTGAAGGCCCTGCACTCACGTGCAAACCTTCGTCGATTCCTCGAACATGTGACGCATGCGCAGATTGACAAAATCACCAAGGCTTGTGCTAAAGGACTGGACCCAAACTTCCATTGTCAAGAGACTGGAGGTAAGTTAAGACATTATTATTTATTTAACGACCGAAAATCGATGTTTTACACATTTTCTTTCAACCTTTATTCACTTTGGACGTGATTCAGCTAAAACGATAATGACGATAAACATAAAATTGTTTTACAACGACCTCAACAATACCATAATTGACCATGAGAATGCAAAAATTGCCTTGCATTTAGTTGTTTCGAACATCATTCGTTCCGCTCGTAACATCTCAAGAAATCCGCAGGAAGTGACCGATTTTCACACCTTATCGCTTTGACCTTTGCATCCGCGAACTTATATTAAAGTCATTCATCCGCTTAGGATCAGCCGTGAATGGTTCACCCAGGCTGCAGTTGGTAATACAGCCTGATATGAGCCCACACTCATTTACATACTGATTCCAATCTGCTATTGTTCTGCCTGTACCTGAAATAGTATTAAGGGTGTACACATGGTGCATTTAGTAACAGACCATTTAGGTATTCTTGGCAGTTGCATAATGGTGTTGAATCATAATGACATATGATGAATGTAGGCACTACCTATTTAGAACTTCTTTCAAGGGATACAGAGGTTTTTTATACAAATAACCGTCTATGCGACGAAATTAACTTAACAAACTAAAGTAACAATAACAAAGTGGAATAATAAACTGCTTATTTGAGACGCCCAAAGATTATGTTAGTCGGTAAAATCTTTAAATATTGCTAGCAATTTCAACTTCATGTTACACACTAATGCTTTGGTTTAATACTTAATACTTCCCTATACATTTACCCTTAGTCATAAATTATAATACTGTTATTATTACCTACGTCAATTTAGTAGGAGGCACAGTTACCTATTCAAGCCAAGTTGCCCTGAAAGGACATACGCTGATCTCCATTTAGGTCGTCTAGCTAACCTACCTACATACTTTAATAAACATACTTGCGAAACAAACGAGCTTTACCCACGGTTCCGTCTGCTTAGAAAGTTAACATAGATGTTAGTGCAGCTTCATTTATCCAGAGATACCAAAATTTAACCTACACGTAGAATTAACTTGCTAAGAAAGAATAATTTGATTTGTTTTTTGAGGAACAAATGACGCAAACAGTACAGATGTCAAAGCAAGTTCAGGGACAAATTCCGTGTCTGAATGTATTGAAAAGATACCAGACGTCATTTACACGGTAATTTGGTTCCAAACGGCGTAGAAAATGTACCTCGTGCTTCAATAATAAATTCATAGCACTATTTTTCAATATCGTCTGACAAACTCCCAAAGTCAGGCTATTTATTCAATTCAAGGCTGCGACGAACATCTGAACACGCCTCACCCATTGTGAGAAAACCGTATCAACCGAGCCGTGGATAATCTGCGATAAACGTCGTATGGTCCTTGAAGCAAACTGAATTATTTGTTCCTGTCCAATAAATAATAAATCATTCTGTTATTTAAGTTTCCTCTTCATTATTTCAAACGCTCAGTGGATTCAATGAAACTGATCATTGTTAGAACAATTTGTTTTGTATGTAATAAGAAATCGAAAATAAGTTAAACATTATTTTATTGTTAACGAAATTCTTAGGAGTAATTAATTACTTTATAAATATTTATTATAGCTTTTATAAGACATTGTTTTTGGACAAATGGAAACAATATTAACCCCAAATCTTCATTCCAGAAACACCTCTAACAATCGCAGCCGGCCTAAAGACACCAGGAAAAGTACTAATAGCCCTTGTAAACGGCGGAGCCTTACTAGACTACAGAACCAAAGATGGCAGCACAGCTATGCACAGGGCTATTGAAAAGAACTCTCTAGAAGCAGTAAAAACTTTACTGGAACTCGGAGCCTCACCTAATTATAAAGATGGGAAGGGATTGACGCCGCTGTACCTTTCTGTGACGAATAAAACTGATCCGTTATTGTGTGAAACCTTGTTGCATGATCACGCTACGATTGGGGCTACGGACTTGCAAGGTTGGCAGGAGGTGCATCAGGTGAGTATTAATCATACAAGTTTGTATGATCACAAAGCTAAATAAACATCTCTGATATTTTGCCCTTAACTGTCCCACTCCGTTGGTTCCATTATTTTTCTAAATCATTCGATAAATCAATGCATGATCATGTTTTAACTGTTTTTAATGTTTTTTTTATCTGAAATTGCAGGCATGTCGCAACGGTCTTGTCCAGCACCTGGACCACCTGTTGTTCTACGGCGCGGACATGAACAGCCGCAATGCGTCTGGAAACACTCCGCTGCATGTGTGCGCAGTTAACGCTCAAGACTCTTGCGCACGCCAGTTGTTATTCCGGGGCTGTGATAAAGAAGCGCTTAACTTCGCTAACCAAACCCCTTATCAGGTAACTAGATTTTAATTAGATTTAACTAGGGTTGGCGCAAGCACTAAAGCTGCTAGAATAATGTGAAATGAGGGACATAAAAAATATAAGATGGATTTACAAGTTTTCAATAGACAACTGTCTCGAGTCATTCGAATACCATGTATCCAATGTACGGCAATATGATACTCACTAAGTATAATATAGGACATTATAAAATATGAGCACCGAAAAGTGAGTGTACCGAATTTGTACTGCGTGAAGACTTCTATACTAATTCATGCTTTCAAACATTCTCAGGTGGCTGTCATAGCAGGCAACTTAGACTTGGCTGAAGTTATAAAGAACTACAAAGCTGAGGAAGTCGGTGAGTTAGGCCCCGGCTGTATACCGTGTACTTGCTGCATGGCTTTGATTGGAGCTTCATATTATTATTTACTTTTACTACATGAGGATTGAATTAAACCGTGGATTCTTAATTATTTACATTACATCATAAACTTAAAAAAGAAGGGGTTACCTTTTGTCCTTATCATAGACTTATTTGAATATAGAGAATCCGTGTTTTAAATTTCCTAATTTATAATATTTTATATGCAATGCTTTAGTATTTTTACAGCAAATATAATCTATTCCAATGGATTACCTACATTCTATGTATATTTAGCAGTATCTGTGTAAATATTTTATATTTTATTATTATTGCATGCGTCATCCGTTCTATCTATTCTATTCCATTGCTTAATATCATAATGGTGATGGTTGTATTTTGAATACCTGCGCTAATATATGAAGATTAAATGAAACATCTATATTTTTAGGGTAAATAATATTATATATTTCTATCGTTACAAATATTTAACACCTATAGTTATTACTCCCAAATATGTTACTGCACTCTTATTATTATATTTTTTTATAAATGACTTGTGTTTGTCGAATAATTTTCAAGTTTGATTATTATTTTCTTGATATTTGTTTGACGCACGATTTCTTTATTAGTTTGTTCGGTTGCTAAATAAAATATTTCAGTGCCATTCCGTGGACCTCCTCGGTACAATCCGAAGAGACGATCTGCGGCTTGGGGGGGTTGGTGGACGGCAGGGGACAGATCGTCCCTAGCTTCCTCGACACGGATACCCGCGGAACTAGACACCCTGCTCCGCCGGCAGCCCGGCCCCACAGCGTCTCCCTGCAGTCTTGAGAGACCATTCTCGTCGGCCTCGTCCAGCATTAGCGATGCCAGTCACCCCAGCCACGAGGACGATGCCAGTATACTCACAGGTAAAATTCAGGAGGTTGAGTTGCGTTGGAAAATAATAACATACGATGTAAATACGACCACCATAGCGTAACAGAACATCAACACTGATCTAACTACACGTCATCAATGTCCTATGAGCACAATGAGGTTGGTCGTCGTATCTACACCAGTGTTATGTTCCACCGCGTGGTCCAAGGTTGCGGAACATGGCACCACAGCCACCATGTGACAACTGACAACCATCACCATGCACCGACATCGCCCGTCCACTTCGTTGCATGTTCTATGTGCCTTTATGTCATGTAGTTACCCATCGATCGCTTCTTCGCTTCCTTTTACGACAAAACTATGATTTTTCCGATTATACCCCTTTTAGATATAGGTGTACGAAATTATTCTTTAGTGAAATACGGTTAAGATTCTTCAAAGCTTTTTTAAACTACACTTGTATTATAACCTGACACTTACAAATCGGTTATTCACTGAGCTACGAAGTCCAAAACTTATATAGTCTTCCAATTCACAAACAAAAACACGCTTTTGTCCCAGAAAGTCCCCAGTACAAAAAATAAAGTGTTCAACGGTCCATCACAATAATGAATGTTGGCACTTCACCTTCACGTTGTTAACCCACTTTCAATCCAAACCCTTGGAAGGTCACTGAATTTTAAAAACCAATCCCAATTTTGGACCCACGTTTGAAAAAATGGATTTCAAACCAGACTGACCGTTGAGCGACACTAACGTCAACAGATAAAAGTGCGGGCGACACGAGCGACATCATATCGGACTCTAGCGGCGTCGGGACCAGCAACTCTGACACTACGTGCTCCCTCCACGGGGGCGCTACCGTCGTGTGTCTGCAACCTTACGACGCAGGCACGCCTGGTCACGTGCGCCTCAACCAGGGCGATATTGTTGAAGGTACAGTGTCTGACACTAGTGTACTCATGTGTGACATTTGTTACACTTATTGCTAGTGATATTAAGGTTGAACGCCCTATTAAAACGTCTTAAACTGTCAAACACCAAGCGGTCACCGGTGACCGCGACCTATTGTTCTTTAATTGTGTCTATAAAACCGGTACTCGACGAGTTAAAGTAAAGGTCGGTATATAGAGTCAGAAGCAACAGCTAGGATATGACAGTGTGAAACTTTAAATACTTAAAAGAAATCATCTCCCATATGAAAGACATGGTTTTCATACAACTTACAATACATTTATTAATACCATTTGTGTTCATAACTAAATTAATAACAAAAATATCATTGGTTGCACTTATAATAACTGGACGAATTACCTATGTGAGTAACTGAATTCATTGATTAACAGCACTTTAACTGTCCAACGTACCAATCTACCAAAATGTACCTTTTAGGTATAGAAATACAGTTTGTTATCCTTATTAACTTGGTTTTAATATATGGTGGTATAATAAACAGTGACGGGAGCGACAGATGATGGTCTACTGGAAGGTACGGTGCGAGGCTCTGGAGCAAGTGGATTGTTCCCCATGCAATGCGTACAAGAAGTACGTTTGCGGCAGAACACACATAATCTACATCAGGTAGGTCGCTTTTTTGATACTCAGCACATTTCAGTGAAGACCTTAATTCTCTTTAGTCAAATTGCATCCAAAGGCTACTTGCAACGCCCTGGGCAAGGACACCCTTTTACTCTAAATATTCTATAACTTGTTGAACGTAAAAACAATGAAGTAACTTTTTTTATCTCCAAGAAAAATAATTTAGTCCCAAAACTAAAGAACATTTCTTAGTTTGGTTTCTCCTACTAACATTAATTTTAACTTTTTAGGTGCTAGCGTCAGGACCAATCCACCATTCCCGAGTTACGGGTAGACGGGAGATGGCTCTCAGCAAGACTTACAGTGCTACTGCGCCTAGGATTAAAAAGTCGTAAGTGAAACAAATTTACCAATTATCAAGTACCTACTTTGCAAAAAAAATAAAGAAAAAAACCTATTCCAGTCTACTGAGTGTCTATGAAAATGTTTATGATTTATGGTAACTATACCATTTCTTCGTGCTCTAAAGTTGCAAACATGGTCGTAAGTAAATGCACACTAGTATAACTTTAATTCTATTAAACACTTGCTAATTAAATTTGAACCTTAACGCAAAAACAATAAGGAAGTCCTATTCCTTGAACACTTCGATGCTGTAACGCCGAACCTATTGTTGTTATAGACTACCTAGTTCCTTATGAAAACAGATGCATTCATTGACATCATCTGTACTTGTCAACAGGACAACAATTAACAATGATTGGCTTGTATCAAACAATAACATTCACGGGTCAGATGTTAAATGTAATCCTACCTTTCGGATGTGACAGTGCTGCAAGAAGAAATTTTTAATCGGTGATTATACCTGCAGATAATTTAAAATGTTTTACTTTAAAACATAGTGCAATTATTCAAGCAGAGTTTTAATATTAAAAGTTTAAATGACTGGGTTTTTAAATACATGTTTAAAAAAATTCAAGTCATTATTGTGTCAATTTAATAAAATGGGAATTTATAATAAGGAACTGGCTGATCTTATGTCTATATTGAAAAAGATGTAAGTAATAGATACAGCATTGTTTATCAAACGGCATTATCTTCTCACTTCATTCCTTTGTATAGGTATTCTATAACCTCTAAGTATTCTTTTTAATAAGTATTTACTAATATTTCCGATGTGGCAAACAAAATCGATTACTATGCTTCTAATCATACTAAAAATTAAATAAATTAGAACTGTTCTCGAAATGGTGCCGCAATTTAGTTAAATGTAGTGATTATTTGAAATCTTAAAGTTTACAATACATGAATGCAAAGTTGATGTACTTAACACTAGGCGACCAACGTGTTGCACATTTTGTACCCGTGGCCGTTTGGAACCGAATTATAGTTACCAAACCCGAATTTGAATATCTAATCTGAGTGTGATGTGTGGATGTGAAATTAATATTTCTAAACGCAACCACAAAACAGAAGAAAATCTCATAGTACTATTAAAAAAAAACAGAACAATGAAAGAAATCCTTACCTTATTCCTTCGTCAGGTATGGCAACATGGAAACTCGCACAGTGGTGCTTCACCGAGCTCGTCGAGGGTTTGGGTTCGTGTTGCGTGGTGCTAAGGCATCCTCCCCACTCATGGAGCTACGGCCTTCAGACGCTGCCCAGCACTGCAGTATCTTGATGATGTCGACGCGGGTGGTGTAGCGGACCGCGCAGGACTTAAGAAGGGAGACTTTCTTGTGGCGGTGAGTACTTTTAAAGCTTAACACTGGGAAGTGGAAACCTTTATACCAACTGATTTGTTTAAGAGAATAATCAACAGTCAAATATAACCTTGAAGTCCTAGATTTCGTAGCAGACACTTGAGGTATCGTTGTTTCATTTTTGGCGTCGTAAATAAAGTTGTTTGTAGAACATAACACTGCAAATATTTATCGCTCTATTACAAACATCTCTTTAGCCAAACTATTCAGTTTCTTGTTACCTTGGTTTACCAAAACATACAAACATTGAAGGCATTTAAACAATAGTATCCGCCGCCAAATGTGTCAGTTTAGTCTCCACCGCCGAATATGGCCGTGCTCCTTAGTTATCGAAAAGTAAATTGTTAATTTTGGTAAAAATACAACTTTTAAAAACAACATTATAGTTCTTCAAAAATTTGTGTAACTGTATTTCGGTTTTAATAACATAAAAAATAACGGTTTTACAAATCTGACAACCTGTTAAAGGTTTCCGCTTCTGTTAAAACACTTTGGCATTTTTTTTTTGCCGTAGACTTGTTTATATTTACTTTTGTTCCACCTTCCACCGTATTTAACACTGTGAATCCCTCACTTGCAGATAAACGGCGAGGACGTGTCGTGTGCGTCGCATGAACACGTGGTGGAGCTGATCCGCAGCTCCGGTGCACTCGTCTCCATGACTGTTGTCTCGTTGAACAATCACAATGGTAAGTACCACACCCTACTGCTCTTTGTACATAGCCTCCGATTGCTGGAAATGGACTGGCCTGCAGATGGTGACAGCTCGACTACCACGTTGAGAAGTACTTCTGCGTTTGTATAGTAGTCCAGAGTTGTAAAATCGATGTTGCTTCCTTGGTTCCCCAAAGCAATAGTTCCGGCACCTGATCTCTTCAATGGTCGTGACGTGACGGACAATGCACATGAGGGAGTAGATATTTGTATTTGTGTAGTTTAGTGAGTTTGTGTTCGATCACCTTCACAAAAACGTGGTCAAATCCACGTGCCAGTTTGAATGTTTACTTGTGACTCTTCACTGTAAAACGGGAGCACTAATTCCCCATATGCGAACTATATTTAAAGACATTTTTGCTAGGTAACAACGAGAACAACACGTGTACGGTACCCACAAGCAAGTCTCAGAACCAATTGTCTAGTTCTGGTCGCCCTTACGCCGCTACTCTACCCAGGAAGGGTGCCGGAGGTGAATAGTATTTTGAACCATATTTTAGTAGAGCAGCATAACGATTAGCAACATAAAATGCTAAATGCACAAAATAAAATGCAAAACTGTAGTTAGTTTCCTTAGATCTTAATTTAATTGAATCTCAATTTATATTCCATTGAAGCCAGACTAACAAAAAATGCGCTTATTATAATATCAAAATATAAACTTCCATTTCTTTACTTCTCTTTAGGTCGAGCACCTGCGCCTGCGCCGCCACGCCGCGATCCGCGCACTACCTTGAGCGTGGGACGTGCCCGAGCAAAGTCTATGGTCGCTGGACTTGGTATGTAAATTACTAAAGTACTCACATTTCTACAACTGTAGTCCGTTCAATTTCAAACAATCTATTAAAGCTTTTGGTTTAAATTGAGGAATATTAATTTCAGAGAATGGTGGTGAAAAAGAAGAGAGCTGTGAACCTCTGAGTGTAGCTGGCAAGTCGTCGTCGGCTGAATCTGTGCAGCTCCCGGGTGGAAGTAACAGTAAGTTTTTCAGTAATCAATGTATCTTTTCGTTAAACATATCTTTTTCATTGATAGTGCAGAAATATCAGGGTTCCCAAACTGTTCAATAGTATTTAAAATGGGATCCTTATTGTTCAAACAACTTAAATCTTGCTTGACCACCTATTTCTTATGAACCGTGCGTTTCGTCGAGGTCCGAAAGACCCGAACTTATAAAAATACCATTATGTGTATGACAGGTGGCACACCAGTATCTGGCACTCCTGTGGCTCCCCGCACGGCGTCCATCCGCGCCAGACCTGCATCATCGCGCATCACCGCCGCAGAGCTCGAGGAGCTGTTCCAGAGACAAGCTGACGCAGATACCATGTACGTATCAATAATAATAATCACTAACTACGTTGGCTTAATTGCCCAATACGTATTTTGGTCTCCGATACGAAGAGTTATGTTTCTTTACAAGGTATTAAAGACACTTTCCGCAAGTTACCGAATATCTGTATGTACCGATGTAGGCTAATAATTGTATACAATTTACCAGGAGAAGCTTATTAGAAAGTTTAAGGTTAGACTTAAATAATAAATTTTCCTTAACTCTTTAATGTAGCAGGTTAACCCCTCCAGCGTCCTTATGAGCACCCGGTGGATCATAAGAAAAAATGCTCCATGCTGCTTTCTCTTTTATAAAATCTATTATTAATGTTTTGTTTTTATTTTGACTGTATTTGTTTTATTTCTATTGTAATGATCCTTGTTTTCGTGTGCCAATGGCCGAATAAATGCATTTTCTTTCTTTCTTTGTACAAATGTCACGTGTGCACCCGTTGGATCATAAGGAACGCGGACGCTCGACGGGTTAAAGACACTTTCCGCTAGTTATCGACCGTTATCTGTATGTACCAATGTAGGCTAATTGAAGCTTATTAGAAAGTTTAAGGTTAGACTTAAACAATAAATTTTCCTTAACTCTTTAATGTAGCAGGTTAAGGGCCCACTACAGAGGGAGTCAAAGGACATTTATGTATCCTTGTGACAATGTTATTATCACTTTAAATACGATTGTACAACACACCCCTTCTTTCTTCTATTTATTCTGATACTAGCTTTTACCCGCGGCTTCGCTCGCGTCACAAAAGGATAAAAAGCCAATGTGACATATACCAATACACACAGCGCCATCTATACCAATACTTTTGTTTTTCCTCGGGAATATCAAATCCGGGATAAAAAGTACCCTATTATTTAATCCGGACTTCTAACTTTACGTCTGCAAAATTTCAAAGCAATCGGTTTAGTAGTTACGGCGTTAAAGTGGAACAAACAAACAAACTCACTTTCCGATTTATAATATAAGTAAGGAGTAAGGATTTAATCAACATCTTTTTTATTTTCCAGCCTTGGCAACAATGCAATGATGACTCGGTCCGCATTCCAAGGCGGATCGAACTCCCCTCCCTACTCACCTGCGCGAGCACCCACAAGAGTTTATGCATCTGTGGCCGAGATGAAGAGGTCACGTGGGAAGGTAATATTGCACTAATAATTATATCGATATCCAACTAGCCAACCCGGCGAACTCTGTTTCGCCACCAGTTGGCTTCGTTTTATGTAACATTTCGTTTGGTGATTAAAAGTGAATTTTCTTTGCTATAAACCTCACGGAGCCCGAGACCTTTCCAACGCATGCAAAACCGTGGTTGCGGTGGTGCAACATCGGTTATAGCGTCAGGAAGGAATATCCGACTTATTTTTATATAGTAGATAAGGAGTTTAATGACACACACAGTAAATTTGAGACAAACCCACAGAATATGGAGTAATATGATGTATTCCTTTCCTACAGTTGTGGAGCAAATCAGGAAGTAGCACATTACGCCGCGACTTCCATTCCACACCGGACCTAGCAGCTGAGCATACTGCGCACCCACCAAGAACTCGATCCAGCGAAGATGTGCATGGTAAGCTATTTATAGGTACTTTAATATTAAAGATAATATCATAAGAGAATTACGAAATTAACACGTTACCTACTTTATTTTAAGTACTTTTGCGCACATTCCCGTTAGATTTCGACTAGAAAGATATCGAATAAGATGTACCTACATTAACTATAAATTTCTGCAAGGACAACGCTTAGATAATGTGCGAAAGCGGTCCAAGGGATCCACTCCAAAGATAAAAATTGATAAAACATGTCTTATATATATTATATATATAATTCTTCTGTGAGTGTGTATGTCACTGAACTTCTCTCAAACGACTGGACCGATTTTGATGAAATTTTGTGTGTGTTCAAGGGGATCTGGGAATGGTTTAGATTCACAAATCAGCCCGGCAGATGGCGCTGCAGTCGATGTTTAGGTTATTTATCCTAAACAGCTGAACTAATTTGAATGAATTTTTGTTTATACTTCAAGTGGATATACAGGACAACGTCTGTTGGGTCCGCTAGTATTTGTATAAAAACTGTTGCTTTCCATTTCCAGCTCCAGGACGAGTCCCCCCACCAGCATGTCCTCCACCCCCGCCGCCAATAACCGGGGCAGTGCCCGCCTCCACATTCCGGCCGGCCGACCAAGCCAAGCTGTACGCCTCGCCGCGAGACCTAGACACCGTCGCCTACCGACCTACAGCCACCGATAACACGCACAACGTTAGTGTCTACCGCATTTTATATTTTTTTTGTATAATGTTGTTGAAATTGTCCCAAAGAACATTTAAAAGGTACTACTATAGAGGACACTAAATCAGTCGCATATTTCATTTTGGCAATTTTTGTTTTATTCGATATTTTTTTTATTTCTGATTTTCTACTTAAACCCTAAGGTTGACTGGTAGAGAATACCATATGGCATTAAGTTCGCCTTATATGCCATAATAAAATTGTGTGCATAAAAGAATAAATAAATATTTTATATTCGGTTAGCGATCACTAAAAATCCCCTATAATGAAATACAATATAAGACAATTGTTAGATCACTTTGGTTTGTAAATCTGATCCTTACCTTACACATGTAATCTTTGAGTTAATCTTACATTTTACTATTTGTATCTCCAGGGTCGTAAAGCGACATCGTTACGGTCTTGGGCAGGCCCTAACCGGCCCCAATCGGCTGACGAAGCCGGCAACCAGTACGCACAGCCCTTCAACACCCATAAGGGCTTTGTCAGACAGGTAATTGATATTGTTCTAAATCATGCAAGAACTATAACGGCTGAGTTTCAGCATAGACGAAGATTTACCTACACCGTAATCTCTCTGGCAGAAGCTAGTTTATCTTTATCAATCTGCACAAAACTGATTCCAGACCAATAGATCCATGATATTAATACGTAACGTCTATATTTTCCAGAACTCTACACCAGCGCCGCCAATCCCCGAGCCGGACTATAGTATGTCAGAATCTGACGACGAAGTGGATTCCAAGCCCAAAGGCGAACCCGCCGCGGTCGCCGAGACCAGCGCCAATAGCAATGCCAGGTAAGTCTTATATCTATTAGCAATAAGATTGACTTTTACTTGGCTTTTATTACGTGGATCTGGTCAAATGGTTGGGCAATTATTGGTGGTGCCAGTTCAGAGTCGATCGGTTGCTCTGTTATGTTTTAGTTCATGAAATGGTTTTATTGTTATAAATATCTCGTATGCTCATTGAAACTACATACCTGTCTCTTAAACTATATTTTTTAATCCAATATTGCACAAGTAAAAAAATACACCAGAAGAATGCAACGTCCTAATAAAACTTAACATTTTCAGGATACCAATATACGCAACGATATATGAGCATGATGCCGAATAAATAGTTAATTTTGAACTTTGATTCTTATCGCATAAGGTATAGTTTCAATTGTACATGAATTACGTGTCGCTGGGAAAGCGCTTATGTGTTTGTACGGTCACTATCACGAATTGCATTTGTCTCAACACTAAATCACAACCGTTTATTTGTTTCATGAAGGAAATCATCTTCATTTTGTCCATTGTTTTGCTAAAAGATACACGAGAACGAAGTTATTATTAGTTGTTTAAGTATTTTATGGAAGTTTACCATCTGGTGAAAGGCGGTTGGGCATACATAAAAAGGAAGAGTTTATAAACACATTGCACTCAATATGTAGAAAAATAGAAAACATTTTTCACGAGGTTCAAAGTGATTAACTTATAAATCATTCTCATGTTACAAATATGTATTTTATTTATTTAAAAGGCGTTATAATGTATCTTTCTCATTTATATTCCTTTTAATAATATTGGCGGTGCTCGTTTTAATGTGGAATTAATATTTTTGTGTCATTTTTGGTAATTTTGAAAAATTCTTTGCACAGCAAGAATGATTTTGTGAGATATTTTGTTGGTGGCTAGTTTTTAAAACAAATGATAAAATTAAATTGTTTATTTTTCCAGTGGCAGTAGCTCGGGTTCAAGTTCGATGCAACATTCGTTCTCTGTAGACGAGATCCAGAAGATCCGGACTCGCTTGAAGTCATCGAAGTCATGCGGCGACGAGCTGGGCGTGGAGCGCGACGACGGCGACAACTCGTCGTCTGGCGTGTCGTCCGACCAGGAGGCGCAGGCGCGGCCGCCGCCCCGCCGCGACAAGGTGTCCTTCTGTGCCTCCGTCACCGTCAAGTCCTCCAACGACGTCATCAGCACCGAGCCCGTGCACTCGTCCAGCGAGAGCCTGGCGCCCCCGCCGCCCCCCATGGCGCGCCACAACTCGCTGACCCGCAAGCGGGCCACGGCGGCCGTGCTGCGGGGCGCGGGCGGCGCGGCGCGCGGGCGCTCGGCGGCGGAGCGGCTGGGCGTGGACATCGACAAGGCGCCGGGGCGGCGCGCGCGCGCGGCGGTGCTGCTGGCCGCGCTGCCGCCGCCGCCCGAGGAGGCGGTGCCGGCGGCGGAGCACGCGCCGGTGCTGGCGCCGCCGCCGCAGTTCAGCGACCGCGTGCGCGTGGTGGCGGCGCTGCCCAAGCGCCTGGCGCACCTGCAGTAGGAGTGCGTCCCTTCCCTCTCCCTATCGTCGTAGGCTTACCGTACCGCGCCCTCAGCGAGAAACGTTTTGTAATCGAGCGACTAAATGAAACCAAAGATTTATAGTATTTATTGTTGAGGAGTTAACATTGATATAGTTGAAACTAATTTTTATACATTCCCTTATTAAGCTAGTATAACATGCGTTTCACGAATCATTATTATTGGTATTACTTTACTGTTATATACCCGACGTAGCGGTTTTGTTCTGTTCGTTCTAGCAAATTTATTTAATTCTAATACTTATATCGTAATTTCAACCTTTTTACAACGCAACCAAGTGCCATCGTATCTATGATTTTAATATATTTTTATATTATATATCTGTAAATATTTTACGAGAGCTATTTTCAAGTTAAAAGAGTGGACCAGACGCGTAAATACAAAATCATCCGGCCAGCATATATTATATTGAAATCAGATTATTTATTAAACACTGGTATTTATGAATGTTGATACATATATTTATATGGAACATAATGTTGTACTGTGTTATGATCGATTGTTATTATTTTAGTTGTTTTCATTATTCGTCCATCGGTACGTCGACATGATCCACTCTTTTGACGAAATATTATTGAATTATTACGTTTACAATGGCCAATATGGCGATTATTTGAATTGAATGTGTTCTCATAGAAGACTAGCGCTTGAACCAAACTCACTAGCGTTTCATCCGTTCCATGATATTGTAAAGATTTTATACTAATCGAAATACATCCGTGCATCATTTAGATATAGTTTACATCGCAAAGAGAGTGTAACACCAATTTTTATATTTCATTAATCGATTTTGTATCTTATTCTATTGTACTTTAGATATCATTTTTGCAAAAATTGTAATTGTGACTCTTCGAAATTAACTTGTAAAAGTATGAATCACACTTATATTAAAAATCACTTACCCTTTTACTTTATGAAAAGGGAAGCGAGATTTATGTATGAAGCTCATTATAGATGTATCGAAATCTTACCTGATATATACCTGCCAATGCACGACAGCGTGAACTGAGGAAAATGTTCCACTGTCACTCGTCTGCTAAACTATAAGTAACAAAGGTTACAAATACTACCGAAAAGCAATCAGCCTAATACGAGAAACTATTTTGGATCTTATGTTAATGGACGTTAAGTTTTATATTGTTTGTTAGTAGCAATAGTAATTTTACCGAAAGTTAAACCCCCTGTTTCGCGACACCAAGACTAGGAACTATAAATATTTACCAGATAAAAAAATATTAGATTTTATCTTTAATGGGATAGTGGAACAGGAGGCGGTCAATGTTAAAATTAGCTGAATTCTAGCTGAATTTTAAAATAGTAAGTCGCGTATAGCGGACTATAGCCTCCACATGTATTATTAGCACAATCAATTAATTTGTTTATTAACGTTTGTATTATTTCGTTATAATCGTCTTGTCATTATTTTAAGTTGTATAAATGTATTGTCTACTTAAGGCATAGATAGGTAGTGGTAATTATTAGGGCAATACTTGATTGTAGAGTAACAGTCGGTAAGTGGGGTGTGGCGCGTTGGTACTGTCGCTCATTGGACTACACTACTCGGGAAATATGAAACTTCCTTACCTTACACTTTTTGTAAAAATCGCATTTTTAGACACCTGAAAAACTTTGTACATACATTTGCTTACTCTTACAGAAAATGCAAAATACACTGCTTTTTATTACTACTTCTATTAAACATGAACATTTATTTATAGTGTTAGTTTAATGAGTGCCAGATACCAACTTGCTGTGGTTTTGTATAATACAATTGTGTTTCGCGTTTCATTTGAATCTCAGTATCGGACGTGTAACTACAACTTGGTATACTTTCAAATGAAAAATTAAATGTTTCATCACTTACTTATGCTCTTTATTTTATTTCATACAGATTCCTTATTAATAAATTGTGTTGAATATGACACCATACATTGAACTATATTTCAATAAATTATAGTTTTAGTCTACATTATAACATTAAATAGTAGAAAATATAGACATGGGCGCCGACAGCTTTAGGTATCCTAGTCAGAGGTGGAAGTGACCCAATTGGAAATATTGCAATATCTCGAAACTAGAGGTCTTAGCCAAAAAATAACGAAATTTTCACAAAGTCGAAGCATTTACTTGGATTAGGCACATTTGAAACGTCAAATTGAATTGTCAGTGAAGCTAGGTGTCCCCTATACATACACCCTTCGTAAAATATTTTTACTTTTTGAGTGATGGGGTGGGGATGACCTTGAACTAATTTCTTTTAAATCCCAGACACATGAATATCAAATAATTTTTGAGGAGTGTTGGTTAGGGTTATTTTTGAAATAGAGATAATACAAGATTTTCAAAAATAAGGACCTCTGTTCTAGTCAAAAAAATTCCGCAGAAGGTATGGACCTTCTTTCTTCCTTCTTTTTGAAACCATTGAAACCACCTTCTTGAAACAATTTTTCTAATAGAGGGTGCTGGAGGGGAAACGACCTTGGGCTAAATGAACTCGTTTTTTTAAATCCCAAACATAAATGAATATACACAATTTTCGAAAATAGTGTAGCTCACGGTGATATTTCGAAATTTTACAATATCTCGATCCATTCTTAAGATACCAAACTTAATACTAAGTAATATTTTCTTGGAGATACAACTAATTGGACAAATGGTATATAGTCCAATTAGTTCTATTAATACTTAATTCATTATTTAATATATACACATAACATAACATCACGCCTTTTATCCTTAAAGGGGTAGGCAGAGGTGCACATTATACCACTGTACAATGTAACACCCACTTTTCACTATTTATGTTATGAGTCCATGTAATAGGGGGTGAGGTGAGCCTATTGCCATATACCGGGCACAGTTCCAGACTCCGTGCTACTACTGAGAATTTTTTAAAAACCCAGTAATACTTTGCCCGACCCGGGAATCGAACCCGAGACCCCTTGCTCGGCAGTCGCAATTGCGACCACTCGGCCAACGAGGCAGTATATTATTATTGAATATAAATAAAATTAATAAATATTTGCTAATTGAGGCACAGTAATTCTGGAATCCCTTGAAAGTAATTCTGTCAACGCCCATGGTTACAGATAAATAAAACTAACATATGAAATGTATATACTTTTTAATTTTCATATAAATATAATTTATACTTAATTATAGGATTACTCCATCTTTGCATAAAAATCATGCTTCAATGGATGAAAATGGACGGAAATATATAAAAAAGTTCAATTTATACTGGCGCAGAGTCGAAGTAGAGTTAAGTAAAATGTCGCAGAGGAAATTCAACCTTTATGGCTGCGAAATAAAGCACATACTCCTTCGCATATATCACGCTTAAGCGCGCAAATTCGTGCGTTTTGTTTTTATCTGCGCTTCTATAAATTGATCTTAGTTCAAAACATCAAACATAATTCCTCTAAAAACTAAAACTAAATGCTAAAACTACATAAACTAACAATACTATAAACTAAATGGACGGACAATTTGACAATCACAAAATTATCACATAAAACAACAATAAACTAGTTACAACCTGTTATCTCAAGGCGTTTATGAAGAAAATAATCAAATTAACTAACCTTGTAAGATAACGGAGGGATTTCTTAAAGCTTATCGTTTGTAATGAATGAACTATATTCAACTCTATGTGCATTGCAATAGAGTTTTTTAAGTTCTGAATTATATGGCAGACTGGATTGCTTAACAAGACCTTGTGTTGGTACAATGTTGATGGCATCTATTTTTAAAACATTCGTTTTTTATCGTTCTTTGACGATATTTTTTTCATTGTTTAATTTTGAAATGGATGTTACGTACATAGTAATCATATTTTATTGTGCTAAAGATATAATACAATAGATTGCACGGTTGGTGCGGTGGCTGGGCAACCGGCTGCCGTGCAACGTGTCGCGGGTTCGATTCCCGCACGAAACAACACTTTGTGTGATCCACAAATTGTTGTTTCGGGTCTGGGTGTCATTGTGTATGTCAACTCGTATGTTTGTAAACGCACCCACGACACAGGAGATAATCATAATGTGGGGCAACATTAAAAAAAAAAATAGAGATCCTATTCCTACTTAAATACAATAAGTAGTATAGCTTTTACTAGTAAGTATAGCTCTTAAAGCCTGCAGAGAGCAATGTCAGCAACAGAATATGAAAAAATTGTGTACATACAAAAATATAGGCAAACTTGAGCTCTATTCCGAGGTGCTAAGGTCCATATAGGCAGCAACGTCGTCAATCTTGACCAGTCGCCGGTAATCTACGTTCTCACCGCACATTGGACATTTACCCTCTTCTTGAAGGATCCTGGAAAATAACAACAGAATAAATAAACCTTTTTTAAAAACTCATTGTGTCTTACCGTCCTCCAAAAATAAAAAAATGTAGTAAAATTACCATAATTTTAATAAACGTCTTATTTACTGAATATTATGTCACAAGTCCTCATAAATTAAAAGTACCCTTAACCGACGAGCATGCATGAAAAGATTGATAACTGTTAATGAAGCGAAAGAGGTATGTAAGAATCGTAGTAATTGGCGTTCCTTAGTCTCTGCCTACCCCCATGGGAGACAGGCGTAAAGTTATGTATGTATGTATGTATTGTATGTAAGTCCTCATACATTTTTCTTTACACTTGATAGGTCAACGTTTGTTCACCATCTGGCCTGGTAGTAAGCGATGATGATGCTGACGATGGATCTCGCATACCAATGAGCAACTTGTTCACTCGGGCCTTGAAGACACCCATGTTATATTTGTCACACATACTTTTATCATAAACAAAAACGATAGAAGAAATGCGATCTGGGTACTTACTCTACGAATTCGGTGAGAATAGCCGGAAAATCACATTCCGGACACGCAGTCAGATCATCCTTCACGATATGTAGACCCTGTAAAAATATTAAGTTGTTTTTTTTATACAAATATAATACACATACTTTTATACAAATTAAAATATTACTACTTCAGATGCAGGTGCCAAGTGTAAAAAATATAGGAGGAGGCGGGGCGCGTGAGGGAACGAACCTCCCACGAACGCCCCACTCGTCGCGAGAGACACTCAGAGGGCCCCGGAGATCGTGAGACGATCTCCGGCCACCGTAAGCAAGGGCCTGCGGACGGCGAGCACGACTGTCTCGGCGCCCGACCAGACCCGACTCAAGGACCCATCAGGCCCAATAGGGACTTAACGGGTTGCCGGGGCTCCGGTTTGAAGCCATAGTAGGAATGGGGGATTTTAGTCAAAAAGATAATGATTTTCCCCCTCAAAAAAAAGTGTAAAAATATAGCCAAAATCACCCGTGATTAATTAATCATCCCTCTCGAGCGCCCTATTAAGAAACCTTAAGAAAAATTTCTTCGGTTTTTGGTAAATAATATTGATTAGGAAAATGAACTTTCAGTCGACTGGCCAAGTTTGCTTTTTCCATAATAAGTAGAATACTTACAGAAGCCAAACAGAATGGTACATCGACCTCGCAGTGCGTACACGTGAGGTCTGCGACGGGCAGGTCGGCGCCGCACTGCGGGCACGGGGACGTCGCAGCGGGCGCGGCCGGCTCGCGGGCTCCGTGACGGACTACGCTCTCTATCTTTTTCACGTATTTTGGGTCAATCTGAAGGGAAAATATATACATTTGTAAAGGAATCTGTTTTACAGGATATACGGACATATTCATTGTAATATGATATGATCAAAAATTGTATTATTTTGTCATCAAAATGATCCTAATTTCTTCTTCTTAGTCATTTCACTTACTCCTAAGGACCGTGACTCCTGGGCCTTTAGCCAAACGCCACTTTAGCGCTTGTCTACAGAGAGTGTAGAAATCAAAATGTATGGAGACGACACTGACAAGTGTCAAAATTTACGTCAATTCCATATAATTTGGTTTTCTACATGTAGACAAGCGCTAAGTGGCATTTGGCTACAGCTGCAGATTTTATCCACTACATATCACCATATATTATGTTCTATTGCTTGATGTATTGCAACATCCATAAGCATATCCAACTGTATAGTTATTTAGTAAATCATTAACTTAAAAACATATATACAGTCGAATTGAGAACCTCCTCCTTTTTTTGAAGTCGGTTAAAAATATCAATGATATAAATTACCTGTGACCGATATTCAGGTTGCATCAACACTCTCGCCCAATGGAAAGCTTGGTGCTTCAAACCAGCACGACTGCATTCGATGACCGTCGATGTTAGAATCGATACTTGATCTGTAATCCATATACAATTATACATTATTATAAACTATTACTGGGTTTTTAAAAATCTCAGTAGTAGCACGGAGTCTGGAAATGTGCCCGGTATATGGCAATAGGCTCACCCCCTATTACATGGGACTCATAACATAAACAGTGAAAAGTGGGTGATACATTGTACAGTGGCATTAAGTGCCGAAATGTGCACCTCTGCCTACCCCTTCGGGGATAAAAAGGCGTGATGTTATGTTATGTTATGTTATTATTATAAACTTTTTGAGCATGTGAAACCGACCCTAAATGTCATACTTCTAATTGAACTAGGTAACTTACGCTGTGGTGTAGGGAAGAATGTGACGTCAGCCGCGGTGCGTAAGAGCAGCCTAGCTGCCAAGTCGTGGCGGCCACGTTTTACGTGGGTACGGACCTAGAACATGAAAATGTTATGTTATGTAAACTACAATAAAATTAGAAAACTTAGATGAACGTGCTAATATTTAGCTACATAGCTCAACACGCTGTATAATTGCCCAACACGGCTCTATATGGCCACAACACAATACTATGGCTTAGGTTGCTAACATTACTGTGTCGGGTCTGGGTTTCATGTTTATGTGAATCTGTATGTGTGTAAACGCACCCAAGACACAGGAGAAAATCATAGTGTGGGGTACGTAACGCTTTTTTCTATAATACCAACAATTAGCATGGTCTAGTTCACCGGTTCATTACAGTCACATATTATTCAGCATAGATTATAACGAATTATTCAGCGGATATGAATAGGGCCGTCGGTAGAGAGCGCCCTAGACGGACATATAATGACCAGATTGGCGATATATAAAAGAAGGACCAAATTAAAAGTACCGTTAACCGACGAGCATGCATAAAAAGATTGATGACTGTTGATGAAGCGAAAGAGGTATGTAAGAATCGTAGTAATTGGGTAGTTTCCTGGGTCAAAAATAAATTATTATGATTTTTCAATCCAATTAAATATTGAAAAATAGTTACACTTTCATTCATTGATTTGCCGATATACTTAATTTTCGATTTATTCTTGCAATTTCTTCAGATATAAGTGTGCTATTTGACGCGAAAATATCATGACGTCATAAGCTAGTATTTCGTACAAAATTCATAGAACAGTATCGTTTTTGACGTTTCGATAAAAGTATTGAATTTGACTAGTTGTCAACTACCGTATTGGCGTTCCCTAGTCTCTGCCTACCCCCATGGGAGACAGGCGTGAAGTTATGTATGTATGTATGTAGATTATAACGAAGCTCGATGCTCACCAGTATGTAGCTATGCAGCAATGCGATGGCATGCCTCATGTCCCTGGGTACAGGCATCCGCGAGCCCCGCAGCGACACGCACATAGCGCGCACTACGTCACGCGCCTCGCGGTACGCGCCCGCGCGACATTCCGCGCCCGCTATTATAATCTGAAACAAATTGTATTAAGTTTATTTAACTTTTGTTAGGATACAGTAACTGCCACCGAGTAATAAAACATAGTTGGACCAAAATTTACTGTCCCAAAGACATTATAAGGATAAAGAATAAACTTTCTAATTCTGTTTGAAGTTAAGATTTTATTTTTATTTTAAAAGGCTTCATGCACACACTAATGTACAAGGTGGGTTTAATGCCTAGGGCATTCTCCCCCAGCCAGACCTTTGGGTGATGCAGACAAATATTCTCTATAGGACCATCCATAACCGGTTTTACTTCTAATTATTTTTTGAAAATACTTTTCGAAATAGGCTATTAAAAGAATACTTGAGTATCTACAAGGGAAGTTCAGTTATTCATTAAATAAATAATAAAATTATACACCAACTTACCGCAGTTTTAGCAGCTTCAGCAAACTGCCTCTTGGCCATGTACAATCGGAACAAGTGTCGTGGTTCACGCGGAGTACCGTCAGTCTCGCCAAGGAGGAACTCTATCAACCTGGAATCAATTTTTTTCTACCTTTATAGCCATCAAATCATCAATGTAAACTGATGAAAATCACGTGATTGGGTAAAAATGTTAGACTAATTAATCAAGTGTAGAGTAAGGCTTAAAAAATATGGATCGAGAAAAAGCGATAATAGTAATCGAAATAATACCGTCTTCGGCGCTCTGATTGGCCGGTTCAAAAAAACCAACCAATCATAGCGCGTACTCGTTTCGATTACTTTAAACGTAAAATAAACTCATACTAAGCCCGCAGAATGAATTGTAGAAGAATCCAATAATAACTTTTCTCACCTCCGACTCAATCTCTCATCATCACTAGCAGCGGCCGCATCAATAGCTATACTAATCGCTTCATTCTCCTCCTCTTCAGACCCTCCACTCCTTAACAAATGAGACATCGCCTTATTATACTCCCCAGCATGGAAATAGAACTTCCCAGCCAACAAATGATTCTTTTCCCCTTCAAAATGTAACGCTAAACTCTTGAAGTCCTCCGGCCTTGCTTGCGACGTCTGAATCAATATCTCTCCATACAACTGAAGTTTTCCATTCTTCCTTGCAAGTTGAAACGCTTCATCGTAACACAAGGACATGACTAAGAACTTTATTGCTGAGGTAGGGTCATCGCTATTTTGGAAGTAATTCGCTACCATTTTAGCTCCTTGTATTGACTTTGTTTCTTGAACTAAATTGACTGCTTCGTCTATATCATCTAATTTGTCTAAGTTCAATCTGATCGCTGCTTCATAGTCTTGGGCTTTAAGGTAGGATTTTAAAGCGTCTTGATATCTCCCTTCAGCTTCCTTCGCTTTTGCGTACTGTATATGTATGCTGGGTGAATTGATCTTTGGGAGTAGGGCTTCGACTTTGAGCCAGGATTTTAGCTTGATATATAGGGACGCTGCTTTCTCTGTGTTTCCTGCATGGTCGTATAGGGCTGCGGCGTGGCTGTACTGTTTCTCTTCTTCTAGTAATTGGGCACATTCCTTTATAAGCATAATGTCGTGTGAGTGTTTCATTGCAGTGGTAAGACCTCGCATGACGTCACCGCATCGTATCGCCATTCGTGCGATCCCCGCTTCGCATTTATCATTATGTTCTTTTACTTTGATGTCGTCTGTGTTTTCAGTTATGATGCTTTTCTCGTAGTTTGTTAGAGCTTCGTGGTAGTCGGCCCTGAAGTAAATTGAAATGTTATTATGTTATTGATTTGAATGTTGATTAAAATGTTGTTATATTACAGTCATTAGTTATCAGAAGTGTTGGTGTGTGTAACTGGATACGTAGATTATAATTTCGAGAGTTTTAAAATCAAGTTGCATATTAGTGATTGAACATTAATGTAATACATAATTTATACAAAATGTCATAGAATAATGGATTAAAAAAGAAGGAAATATTTGGCTCAATAAAGTCATTAAAAAAGCCAAAATCTGGTAGAAATAAAAACAAAAATAAATGTAACATACGTCAATTCAAGATGATGTGCCCGATGCCTGGTGATGTCAGGCGCGGCGTGTGGCGCCGCGTGCGCCGCGAGCGTGGCGGCCCGCGCCCAGTCCCCGCGCGCGCAGTGCAGCGCCAGCGCGTGGACGGCGCCCGCGCCGGCCCCGCTCCCCCCGCCACCCCGTCCCCCGCACCGCCCGCGCCCCCCTCCAACCAACGCACCGCTGCGTCACCTTTGTCCACGCATGCACATAGCATACCGCTAAATAAAAGATATATGTACTTATTTATATTTTTCAGCACATCTACACAATACAAAGAAAATAACAATACAACTCAACATAATATTGTATTTCCATTCCTGGAAATGACTATAAAAGTTACAAAAAGACACCGGCAATAAGAAGCAAACCAATAGCATTAAACTGTCTCTTAATAGAATACAATATTTTATTTGCATAAATAAAAAAAACGCATAAATAAAACTCACCATAATATAGACAAATCCTCAATATGAGATGCATCTTCCAAGGCCCAAACCATTGCCACATCACTAAGCCTCGTGTAAACCCGAATTGCTATAAACAAAACAAAAAACATAATCAATATAAAACATGTATTTAACCAACCTTGTTAATACAGATTAAAATCATAACAAAATCTCACCAAACTCAACATTAAGGTCAGCTATAGCGGCTTCTCCCATCTTCCTCCATAGTTCCACTTCGTCCACAGCATCACAGAACAGCCAGGCTTCACTGAACCGCCTCAGCAGTAACAACTTCTCTATATGCCGGCGCTGGTTGGCTAGACGTTTCTCTGTGTCCGCGTCTGCTAGGCCACCGGTATTGTGAGAATCTAACGCCATTTTTAATACCCTGCGGAATTTTAACTTTATATTTAAAGATATAAATTTCATATTTGATCATTTTGAACCTGTGTTAAAAGTAAGTATTTAAGGATGTACATAGAATAATGATCATAGTTACTTGCAATATAATTTAACAGATATCTCCATTACCACAGATATCTCCATCACCAAAACTAGGATTATTTTCAGAATCATTAAAAATGTGGTGTCAAAAAATCGAATACTATATCTAAAGATTTCATTTCCTCCAAAGGAGTATGTAGAGGTTCACATTTTTCAGCTCCTATTAGTATAGTATAGGAGCTTAGTATCTGAGTATATCAAAAACATCCAAAAACCACAAGCAACATTAAAAACAAAAACTAAGTACTTACGATCCAGCATTAGCATAGCAATAAACATCTCCAGAGAACAAAATAAGCGGTATTTGTCCAGCCATGAGTGGCGTAGTCCCCACCAAATCCACGTGAGAACCGTTGATGGAGTTAGCCGCGTAGTAATACGTCTCTATAGCTTCATCCGTGTATATTATGAACACGTTGCGGTCTGAGAGGCAAATGTCCCAGATTATGCCCCTGGAAAAAAATCATATATTATTTTTGAATTATATTCAGTTTAATTAGGTGATATTATTTTTTTGTACATTGTTGTCTTATGGAGGACATTGTTGAGGCAGAGGGCGTCCATAGAAGTCCTAGAACGTTAACGAAAGTATAAAATAATTTTAATTGATAAAAAAAATATCATTATTTTTATTTAAACTGTCAAACACCAAGCGGTCACCGGTGACAGCAACCTATTGTTCTTTAATTGTGTCTATAATGACGGTGCTCGACGAGTTATAAAAAAAACAAAAAAATTATGAAAATACATTTATTCAGAATTATTACTATCGTCAATCATCAATTATAAGTTTTGTACTGTCCAATGGTCGTATTTTCAACTTTATAACAAAACAATAAGGTTGAATGTCATGTGATTAGATGTCCTGTTTGATCGTTTGCCCCAAATTTTATACAAATCTATAAAAAAAATATATGAATTTGTGTAGCTTAACCCAAGTAGGCACATACCTGACATCAGTAGCAGCATTCCTGGTAACAGCGGCGACATGGTCTGCCGCGGGGCAGTACACGGCGAGGCGACGTCGCTCGTCGAGCAGCGCTGCGCGGGCGCCGCCTATGTCGCAGTGCAGGCGGCGCAACCCACACGCGTGTCGGTGCCGGGCACAACTACGCCATTCCTCCACACCGAAGTATTCGACGTGGCCTTGCTGTGTATAGTATAAAAATTCAGTAATACATAATCATAGTCTAAGGAGGTTTTCCCACTAGACCCGGCCCATTATACATTTTATATACCCTATATTTTTTACATTGATAAAAAAATATCCACACATTTGAATGTATCCAGAGAAGGGGCGTAATCAGTTTCTCCCAGCATATTAATGCTAAACTCTAGTTTAGAGGAACCTAAAGTTTATTAGAAGTTGGAATTAACACAGCTTGAGGTGCACCAACAACAACTATGATAGAGCAAAGATTTTATAGTCTTAGTGAATAGTTCCTACTATTGTATATTATTTTTATGCAATTTTAGGTTAGTTTTAGTTATTACTAGGTGGATTATGTAAGGTAGGTAAGGTAGGAAGGATTATGTAAGGTAGGTAATTTAATAGGTTAAGATATAATGTGTATATATTGTAAGCCCTACTTTATTATCTTTGTGTTTAATATTATTATTTTTTGTTTTAGTTGTATTACTTCTTTTTAGTAAAATAAATATGTTTTTTTTTTAAACTAGATTAAGCCTCACTGTCGAATTGGGAAAATACTGTAATGAGAGTGTAGGAAGATTTTTATAATAAATAAATACATCTCTCTCTTAGCTATCTGAAATAACTGTCATAGAAATTAATATTGAAATTATGTATAACTTACATCCGTGACGAATATGAAGAAATCAGTAGTGAGGTGTATGTCAACGATCTTGGCGCCCTGCATATGGGGCTCGGGAAACAACATGGCTTCCTTCTCTGGCTGCGACGGGTCTATTTGATCGATCTAATGAAAGAAAACAAAATAATCACCACAATTTGGGTCTTGTTAATTTCATTAGTTAACACATAGCTGGTGAGAGAGTTAGAAATTTGATCATGCGCTTACACATACAGAGGCCTTACCTCTAGTACGGGTTTTTTTTAAGTATTCGAAACGAGTACGCGTTCGGCACTCTGATTGGCCGGCGCCAATGAAGCAACCAATCAGAGCCCCGAACGCGTACTCGTTACGATAACTTTAAACGTAAAACAAACTCGTACTAACGCCTCTGGTCCGAGTCTTCTTCGTGTTATTTGTTTTAAATTATCCAGTTACTCAAAATTTTATACAAATACATGTGAATATGGGTCATTATGGGTGTTTGATTTTGCGCTCACGAGATAGCGTTACTGAGGCAAAGTTCACTGACTAATAAAATAATGACTTGACATTAGGAAATAATTAATTGGTAGCACCTTTTATGGTGCGAAAACCTACATTGTATTATCTAACAACACTCTATTTATATTTTTTCATTCTAACTCACAACATGCAACATGGCGCGTCCTTGGAACAGAGCTGCAGCATATTCTCCAGCTAAGGTGATCATCTCGATAGGTGCTGGATACTGTCTCCTGGCCGCCGCCCCACCAGTGAGTGGGTAGAACCACGCTAGAGTACCACTGGCACAACATACGTGGGACCCACCCAAGGCAATCACGCTTGGTTCTGTTGGTAGTGTGTATGTTGCTAGGGGTGTCGGTTCCGCTGTGGATTTTCAGATGAAATTTTAGTTAACTGTGTTTAACCCCTCGAGCGTCCTTATGAGCACCCGGTGGATCATAAGAAAAAATGGTCCAAATTTCACGTGTGCACCCGTTGGATTATAAGGAACGCGGACGCCCGACGGGTTAAAGATTAAAAGTTTAAAGATTAACAAATACAATAAAAAAAAAACAAATATTTTCATGAAAATTTTAACATAATTTTCACTAAAATCGAACACCCAATCAGACACACCTCAGTGACTACAATAAAAACATTTGACAAACAGTTTCCTTTTCATAGCATAGTTTGCTTGTCTTCATAGATCTCTACAATAACTTTAATAAAGAAAAGAATTGTAGTAGTGTAACATAGTGTAAGTAACTACTTAGTAGTAATAAAAAAAAAACTAATATTATTAAAATAAAATATTATTAACTTAAAAATAAATTGTAACAATTAAGTGATGCGGACAACCGCATTTTTTATATATGGAGTAACAGGTTCTTCGCCGCGCCCCGCCACCCGGCCGCGCGACGAGCCGGCGCGAGCGCAAGCGAGACGACATTCCGCTGCCAAACCTCTTGAGGCACGGACGCTGTCGCTTGATAAATAGCATACTTACCGTCATTGCGAATTATAAAGCATAAATAATTTAAAATATTTTGAGACTGGATTGCTTATCCATACTACTAAACTAAATTAAGTACCTGTAAGTGATTGTGATTCCCAAACTTGGGTAAGTTGTGCACAATTTTATATAAAGAATTTTAACGGCCATTACCTACCTTTTTTTATATTCGTTGCGTTAATCTTAAGGTACGGGCCTGTCTAACTATCGTAGCTTATTAATTTCTATCCTTGTGTAATGTTTTGCTTTTCCTTCACTATGTTCTTATTATATGCTTGTAACCGCCTCTGCTAGCGACCATTACCTACAGTGTCGATTAAGAATCACGCCTGGAATTCTTCCCGCCTTGTAAGCCCTAATTTTCCAATGTAGTTCTTGCCATGCATACCTAGCGTTTCCCGTGCACCCCTTATACCGGCAGCTTACTGATGTGGCCCTTGTCACCAGGAATTACGTCACGGTTTCAATAACCGAACCGGACAACGAACCTGTCACAGCACCTGAGTGGAGTGGCCGAGCTGACGGAACTACGCCTGGAGGACGGGAGCCCGAGCTGACGGAACTACGCCTGGAGGACGGGAGCTCGCCAGGGAAGTGTGGAGAACTAAGCAAGTGCTAAAGACCTAGGCAGACCCTTCAATTTTTTTTCTAATATACCCACATACTTTATTAATTCTAAACCTAGTTTTATTTCTCTCTTGTACACGTCTTATAAACGTGACAATGGCGCCCAAAAACGTGGTTTAAGGTCTTTCGTACTTGTTTTGGTCATTTTAGTGGTTCTATACGGTGGTGGTTTTCCTAGTAGTGTTGTCTGTTTCGCTTAATTTTTTTCGAAGCACTGAGTGACTTGTTATTTAAATGTACTTATATGAACCTTGTAACTTAACTTTTGAAGTTAAGGTAATTGAAAAAAAAAAAAATTTAAAGTTGTTTGAACCAAAGTAACTTAGTGTGTTTCACCTGACTTCACCTGTTCATTATTTTATGTTTTGCTTTTGTGTTGTGTTCTTTGTATGAATTGTAACAGGGCGGATTTTGCTTGGCTTATGTGTGTAAATAATTGTGCATAACCTGCCCAGTTTTTGATTTTTTTACTTGATTTTTTAATTTCTTTTCGTTATGGCAATGCCAATTAAATATCTACTGCTCCAAAAGTCTGAGCTGATGTATGAGGTGGCTATCCGAGGGGAACTTCCTTCTGACAGCGTTGCTGGATTAAGACGTCAGGTCACTAAATTAACACAGTTATATTCGTCTGATGATGTAGTCGATTCGGTTTATCAGTTTTCAGAGGATAGCAAAGGCTCTCAAGAGACGCTAGAGAAAGTTAAGACTAATCTTGATGCCTTAAAGCTTAATTTTGATGAACCTCTTTTTAATAGGACTAAAACTATGTTACACCATGTATACTATAGGCTTCAACGAATTGAAACACCGCAGGCGGCAGATGATTTAGCCAACTTAGTGAAATTAAGGAAAACTTACGAAGGGTATTATGAAATACTTTTGAGCCTTGATAGGTCAAAGGTCAGGGACCAGAAACAAGCCGCGTCTTCAGTTACTTCTGAGGAGGAATTACCTGATAAATCTAACTTAGCCGGAATGAATATCGCCATTTCATGTGATCGCGGACTAATAGGAGAACTGAATAAATTAAAATATGACGGCAAATCTTGTGTCAGATCGTTTATTCAAAGGGTTGAAGAATTCCGTATGTCCAAAAATATAACCGAAAGCAAAATACTAAGTTCTGCTATCGATATTTTTACGGGTGACGCACTTCACTGGTACCGTAACGTCAGGGGCAGTGTCGGTAGTTGGAACGAAGTACTGACTGCGTTGAAGGATGATTTTGATGTACCCGACTACGACTATCGCATGGTCTCAGAAATACGCCAGCGTACACAGGGCGAGGAAGAGAACATTACGGTTTATTTATCCATAATGCATGGCATGTTTTCTAGGTTAAGTAAACCCTTAAAGGAAGACGAAAAACTTGAAATTATATTGCATAATATTCGTCCTTCCTACTCTAATATTATAGCTGCTAGCCCTAATATTAAATCCCTCGAAGATCTAAAATTAATCTGTAAAAATTATGAACGTATTAAGGTCCGTTCAGAATTCTTCAAGGAACCACCTTCGGTTTCAACTAATACTTTGGCTCCTGAATTTGGCTACCAGTCTTCAAAGCGTAAGTCAACGACTAGTGGCCAAGGAAATTTTTACGCTCGTAAGTATGAGGGTGCTCACCAGCAGGGGTCACACAAGGTCTCCGAAATTCAGGCTTCTGAGGCCGAAACTTCGGTTATATCCAAGGTTCCTTACTGTCACCGTTGCCGCGTTAACACGCATTCTATGAGAGATTGTACGGCTGAGCGCAAAGTTTTTTGTTTTAAATGTGGCATGAAGGAAGTTCGTACACCGGATTGTCCAAACTGCAAACCAAAAAAACTAAAAACTGAAAATTGTAGGACGCATGCGGTTACTCATACAGATAGCTCGGACTGGAATGATTGGCTCATGTTTGTTGAAAACTTCTTTTCTAGGAAAGATATTTCTACAATTTTCAATGTCAAACCGAGTAACGACCCCAGGCCTTATGCAAAGGTGGGAATCAATAAAGACTTATTTTTGTACGGTTTGTTGGATTCTGGTTCCGCTGTTACTATCCTAGGTAGGGACTCTCATGAACTTTTGATAAATCTAGGTTTGATTCTATGCACTGATGAGAGGATAACTGTTACTGCAGCAGGAGGTCAGAGGATAACATCCCTTGGTTATATTGTTCTACCTTTGACCTTCGAAAACAGGTTTTCTATTATAAAGGCGCATGTTATACCAGCGATCGAAACCGTTTTAATCCTAGGAATCGATTTTTGGAACACTTTTAACCTGTGCCCTAAGTATCTATCAGAAAAAAAAAACTTATTTACAACCGACCCTGGGCTCTTGGGAATTTCTTCGTCATCTTCTCAGCATCTGTGTGGCTATGACGTTTTGAACCCTCCTCAAAAACTGTTAGCGGACAGCGTGGTAGATCTTTTCAAAGACATCTCGTACACAGAGATAGGTTTAGGTCGTACTAACGTCATTAAACATCGCATAGATACTGGTAATGCTGAGCCTATCCGTCAGCGATATTACCGCATGTCACCAGAAAAGCAACGTATTGTTGCTGAACAGGTTGATGAGATGTTGGCACTAGATGTTATTGAACCTTGTGAGAGTCCATGGTCTTCTCCAGTACTAGTCGTGGGTAAGAAGGATGGAAAGCCCCGCTTCTGCTTGGACAGCCGTAAATTGAACGCGGTAACAAAGAAGGACGCATATAAGCTTCCATATGTGTCTGAAATTTTAGATAATCTGAAGGATGCGCGTTATCTTTCCAGCATAGATTTGTCCAAAGCATTTTGGCAGATATTAATTGATGAAAAGGACAGAGAGAAGACGGCCTTTTATGTTCCTGGTCGAGGAACTTTTATGTTTAAGGTCACAGCTTTTGGACTTACCAATGCTCCTGCTACGCAACAGAGACTTGTCGATCTTTTATTCGGGCCTGAATTCGAACTCAAAGTCTTTGCATACTTGGATGATGTGATTATCATAAGCAAAACTTTTGAGGAACACGTAAAACTGCTTCAGAAAGTTTTTCAAAAACTGCAATCGGCTAATCTCACTGTCAATCTAGACAAGTGTCACTTTTTTCGAAGTCAGCTACGGTATCTTGGCTACATAGTGGATGCTCATGGCTTGAGAACTGACCCAGATAAAGTCAAAGCCATATTAGACTTTCCCACTCCTGTCAATAGGAAGGAGGTTAAGCGTTTTTTGGGTACGGCGTCGTGGTATAGGCGTTTTATTCCACAATTCAGTACCGTAGCAGGCCCTTTAAATAAGCTGACTTCTAATAAAAAGAACTCCCCTGCTTTTCAGTGGACCCCTGAGGCTGATAAGGCTTTCCTAGAATTAAAGACTAAACTAGTTCAAGCACCTGTCCTTGCTTGCCTGACTTTAACCTTCCTTTTGAAGTGCACACTGATGCTAGTAATTTCGGTTATCGGTGCGATGTTGGCTCAAACAATAGATGGTGTGGAACATCCAATGCGTACATGAGCCGTTCTTTGAGTAAACCGGAGAGGAACTACAGCACAACAGAACGGGAGGCACTTGCAGTTCTTACTGCTCTAGAATACTGGCGCTGTTACCTTGAGACCGACAAAGCTTTTTTGGTCTATACTGACCATTCTTCTCTTAAATGGTTTATGTCTCTCACTAATCCAACCGGTCGGCTCGCAAGGTGGGGAGTTCGCCTTTCTTCTTTCAATTTTGAAATAAGACACCGTCGTGGTAAAGACAATGTTGTTCCGGACGCCCTATCTAGAAGTGTGCCAGTTGAGACCATTTCAAACGCTGATGCTTCCACTGCTTCCGTACCTGATACTCAGGATTCTTGGTACCGGAAGATCTTCCAGGGTTGCCAGACTAGTCCTATAAATTTTCCAAACTACAAGGTGGAGAATAATGTATTATACAGGTACATGAAGACGAAGGTAGACCTTACGGTTGAGTTTGCTTGGAAGAAGGTTATTCCTAAAGAACAACAAGGAGATATTCTGATTGAGTGCCACTCTAAACCTATTTCCGGTCATTTCGGCGTGTTTAAGACATATAAGCGCTTAGCACTTCGATTTTATTGGCCCGGTATGTATTCTAGCGTGGTTCAATTTGTTTCAAATTGTGAAATATGTCTAGCTCATAAACATTCTACCCATGGTGTCTCTGGAAAAATGGGTAGGCCTAAAGACGTTTCTCGTCCCTTCCAAGTTCTATCAATTGACTTGGTTGGTCCGTTGCCTTCTTCCCGGAAACAAAATCAGTTTATTTTCGTTGTCACTTGCTGCTTTTCTAAATATTGCTTTCTTTTCCCACTTCGTCGAGCCACCTCGAATTTGATAGTTAAACATCTTGAGAACGATGTCTTTCTCGTTCATGGAATTCCACAAACTGTTATTCTTGATAATGGAAGTCAGTTTATTAGCAAAGACTTAGATAAACTTTTCGAAAAATACAAAATTCCCAACATACATTTTACTCCAAAGTACACTCCACAAATTAATACAGTAGAAAGATACAACAAAACAATAATAACTGCTGTTTCCAGTTTCGTAGATGGGGATCATAGATCTTGGGACTCAGACCTTCCTCAAATCCAATTCGCTATTAATAATTCTGTTAATGAAAGCACTGGTTATACTCCATCCTTTTTGGTACACGGAAGAGAGCTAGTCGTTTGTGGTTCTCATTACCTCGAGTATCCGGATCCAACAAACCTAATATTTCTACCACGTGACGCTTATGCTGCAAACCTGGGCCAATTATCACCAATATTCGATAAAGTGCAGGTTGCTTTATGGGAAGCTCATGTAAAAAACGCACAACACTATAACTTGCGCCGAAAACATGCAGAGTTTAATGTGGGCGATATCGTTTGGAAGCGTTGTTACTTTCAGAGCGATAAAGATGCTCATTTTAGTAAAAAGTTGGCTCCTAAATTTCAAAAATGCCGCGTAAAAGTCAAACGATCACCATTAGTTTACGTCTTGGAAGACATGAATGGTCGCGATCTTGGCGTCTGGCATATCAAGGATCTCAAACTCAGGGTAGGCCCGTCGTAGACTAATTTTGTTTCTATCAATTAGTCTCCTTGCGGATTTCATTAAGTTGAAATCCTTTTTCTGGGGAGAGGGGTAATGTAACATAGTGTAAGTAACTACTTAGTAGTAATAAAAAAAAATAATATTATTAAAATAAAAATATTAATTAACTTAAAAATAAATTGTAACAATTAAGTGATGCGGACAACCGCATTATTTTATATATATGGAGTAACAGGTTCTTCGCCGCGCCCCGCCACCCGGCCGCGCGACGAGCCGGCGCGAGCGCAAGCGAGACGACATTCCGCTGCCAAACCTCTTGAGGCACGGACGCTGTCGCTTTGATAAATAGCATACTTACCGTCATTGCGAATTATAAAGCCATAAATAATTATAAAATATTTTGAGACTGGATTGCTTATCCATACTACTAAACTAAATTAAGTACCTGTAAGTGATTGTGATTCCCAAACTTGGGTAAGTTGTGCACAATTTTATATAAAGAATTTTAACGGCCATTACCTACCTTTTTTTATATCGTTGCGTTAATCTTAAGGTACGGGCCTGTCTAACTATCGTAGCTTATTAATTTCTATCCTTGTGTAATGTTTTGCTTTTCCTTCACTATGTTCTTATTATATGCTTGTAACCGCCTCTGCTAGCGACCATTACCTACAGTGTCGATTAAGAATCACGCCTGGAATTCTTCCCGCCTTGTAAGCCCTAATTTTCCAATGTAGTTCTTGCCATGCATACCTAGCGTTTCCCGTGCACCCCTTATACCGGCAGCTTACTGATGTGGCCCTTGTCACCAGGAATTACGTCACGGTTTCAATAACCGAACCGGACAACGAACCTGTCACAGCACCTGAGTGGAGTGGCCGAGCTGACGGAACTACGCCTGGAGGACGGAGCCTGACGGAACTCGCCACGGGAGCTCGAGGAAGTGTGGAGAACTAAGCAAGTGCTAAAGACCTAGGCAGACCCTTCAATTTTTTTTCTAATATACCCACATACTTTATTAATTCTAAACCTAGTTTTATTTCTCTCTTGTACACGTCTTATAAACGTGACAGTAGTTAGTAATTTGAATAATTTATTTAACATTTTTTTTTTTATAAAAAAGAAAACATAGCCCCACACTAGGATTTTGTCCTGTGTCGTGGGTGCGTTTACAAACATACAATTTCACATACACACACACCCAGACCCGAAACAACAATTTAAGGATCACACAACGTTTTGTTCCGTGCGGCAATCGAACCCGCGACACGTTGCACGGCAGCCGGTTGCCCAGCCACCGCACATCAAAAAAAAAACATTAAACAACACTTACATTTATTCACAGGTTCTGGTTCATCACCAACAGCAATACATTGATACACGGTCGCCTCAGTGAGACTAGTCAATGTAATGACTCTGGTGCCATAGGCCGCGTGTAATGGCGGTAAAGCTGTCACGTATACATTCAGACCACATAGTCGTGGGTGCGTTTACAAACATACAATTCCACATACACACACACCCAGACCCGAAACAACAATTTAAGGATCACACAAAATTTTGTTCCGTGCGGGAATTGAACCCACGACACGTTGCACGGCAGCCGGTTGCCCAGCCACCGCACATCAAAAAAAAAAACATTAAACAACACTTACATTTATTCACAGGTTCTGGTTCATCACCAACAGCAATACATTGATACACGGTCGCCTCAGTAAGGTTAGTCAATGTAATGACTCTGGTGCCATAGGCCGCATGTAATGGCGGTAAAGCTGTCACGTATACATTCAGATACGCTCGACCAGCCGTCGCGAGCAGACGTCCGTCGGAACTCCAAGCACAACGCTCCGCTCCACCGGCTGGCATAACTGATCCTGATACCTCGCCGTTATTCCATATTGCTATTAGTTTTAGTCTGGAAGTACAAATATTCAAATTTTATACAAAACTAGCAAACCTGGCGAACTCCGTTTCGCCACCAGAGGGCCAAGCACGAATAACTATCGCATTCGTAACGTAATAGTATCGAGTGCGTTCGGCGCTCTGATTGGCCGGCTCAAGTGAACCAACCAATCAGAACGCATAACTCGCTCGATACTGTTACGATACGAATGCGATAGTTATTCGTGCTTGGCACTCAGAGTGTCAAGCACGAATAACTATCGCATTCGTAACGTAATAGTATCGAGCGCGTTCGGCGCTCTGATTGGCTGGCTCAAGTGAACCAACCAATCAAAACGCTCAACTCGCTAGATACTGTTACGATACGAATGCGATAGTTATTCGTGCTTGGCCCTCTGTACTGGCTTCGTTTTATTTCGTTTGGTGATTAAAAGATGAAGAAAAAAAATTATTTTTTATATATATTTTTAAAACCTCACAGAGCCCAAGACCTTTCCAACGAATGCAAAACCGTCGAAATCGGTTCGTGCGTTCTGGAGTTATAGGGTCAGGAAGGAAAACCCGACTTATTTTTATATAGTAGATATTATAAAAAAATCAAATAAAAAAAAACATTATAAACAGTTTTTTTTGTTGTTACTGCAACATTACCAAAGTTCCAACTTTAAATTATAGTTATTGTTAGTGTTGACTATCCAGTGCTCACTACACCTAACTAATGCTGAGATGATAACATAACATAACATACATAACATCACGCCTTTTATCCTCGAAGGGGTAGGCAGAGGTGCACATTACGGCACTTAATGCCACTGTACAATGTAACACCCACTTTTCACTATATATGTTATGAGTCCCATGTAATAGGGGGTGAGCCTATTGGCATATACCGGGCACACTTCCAGACTCCGCGCTACCACTGAGGTTTTTACAAACCTAGTAATACTTTGCCCGACCCGGGAATCGAACCCGAGCCCCTTGCCCGGCAGTTGCACTTGCGACCACTCGGCCAATGAGGCATTAATGCTGAGATGATAACTCTTTCAGAATAAACAGGTTGTTAGCATATTTAGTGCAATGTTTCTGTTATTTTTTATTAATTTTTACTCTCTACTTACTGTCCATCACCACAAGAAGCCGCCATCCCATTACAAACTGCTACATCAGTCAGGTTATCCTTATGATTTTTGACTTGGAACAGCTCTTCACCAACTTCTTTGATATGTGTGGATATGGCAATAATGAATCCTGCACTAAATCCTATAAGGATATAGCCATCTCCATACCATTTGTACGATATTATGGAGCCATAGCGCTGTTGAAATGCTAGTTCTATTGGATTCTCTGGGTTCAGGAGATTGTATAAGTACAGAGTCCTCTTGCCAACTACCAAACTTATCTGGAAGATTCATTTTAAACATGTTAACCCACCATTCCATGATGCAGAACAATTTTCTACGATACATTTTTATTTTTTAACTGATTTTGTTGAGAAACTTTAGCATTACTTAAAAAAAATACTACAATTATAAAATTGATGTTGTAACTAATACGGATTCAAGATAGAACTAAGTGATATACTATTGGTCAGGTAAAACTTCAAATTAGCTTATGGTGGGTGTTATCATACCACAATATGACAGCACCTTGGTACTTTAAGTAACTTACTGTGTTCTCCCCAGCAACTCTCTCATCAGTTTTCATCTCCGAGAACTGCAGATCATTTGGTGCATCTCTAAGAGATATCATTCTCAAAGTGTCTCCATCTGAGTTATTAATTGACAAGCTCTTGTCTTCTGATGCCAATACCAGAATACTATCCTTATTCCATGCGGCACATGTAATTTTCTTAGTATGTTTACCTATTATTGGTATTCTCCTGAAATGGTAAAGTTCAAGGGTAGCCAAGTGATTGAGAACTATATATAATATCTGTATCTCACTCTGCTTTGCAACTGCTATATTCCCTAACAATTCAAACAAATTATATTAACTCGTTAAGTACCGTATTTATAGATACAATTAAAGAACAATAGGTTGCGGTCAACGGTGACTGCTCGGTGTTTGACAGTTTTAAAAACTAATGTAGACTTATGTAAAGTCCTTACTTGGTTGTATGATGATTATAAAGTGCAAGATTTCCTTTTTGTGTTCCAACAGCCAACAATGGTTCTCCGTAAGCCCATGCAATGCATGACGGAGGTTCCCGCAGTCCAGTTTCAATATTAATCCTTTTATTAGCATGACACTCCCACAACAACACTGTATTACTATTAGGAGTTATAATCGCTAAATAATCACCATCTTGGTCCCATTCCATTCCACCACAAAGGCTACAAATAAATAAATTACACATTATTCTAAATTACCTCCTGTGCTTCACCCAAATTGCTTTGGGATAATACCTGGGTTTTTCTAGTCATCTCATACTTTTCTTTCATAGCAATCACTTATTTCACACTTTCTGATTCAATTGATCAAATTGAGAAATTTTAGTTGGTGGGAATTAGAAAATCCACTTGGTCTCTATTTCTATGTAATCAAAGACTAGTCAATAGGTTGTAAACTTGTTTCGGTATAATTAAATATCTTACCCCTGTAACTTCATCCTTTCTAACAACTGTCCACTTCTATCATGCACAGCCACTGTAGCATCTGTTCCAGTTGTGGCCAGCAGAGAATGGGACTCTCCCTTCTGCCACAAGAAGTACAACTCTCCCATGCCATGAGGCTGTTCTATAGTGTATAACAACTGGAAAATATTACAATATAACCATTAATAACATGTTGAACGTAGATACTGTGTATGTAACCGGCATTATTCAGTCCGGAACATGTTTCAATATAAATTTTAATGATAATGCTTACTTTTGGAGTCGTCATTTTGCGATGCCTTTTCTAAAAACAAATAATTGGAAAGGTACTTGTTTTAAAGTAATGAATACTTAAATTTTATTGATAAAAATACATTTTGTCGGTTGTTGATGCTTTATTTCGTTGCTAAGCAACTGAAAATTTGAGATGACTGAAGATTGACGTTGTGAAAATGTTCCGATTATTCTCATAAAGTAACATTCTAGTCTTCCTCAAGTCTTCGTATTAATTATAATTTAAATGTAATAATAATCATTCATAATTTTATCAAGAATAATAAAATAAAAAATTGATTTAAAAAAATCATAGCTTTCGCGACCCATTTTCTACGTCTCTACAGAGTTGCCATAACAAAATTGCAATTCGCAATATTGAATCGAAAATTAATCAATATTATAGTATTGTCCATTGTAGTAGTAGTATAATAGTAGTAGTTTTTGTTGTTTTATCTTTAAAACGACTAAAACTATTAAACCTATTTGGAAGAAATATGTATGTCGATTCGAACATCTATAACACAAGGCAAATGATGCTTTCGGTACATTGAGTTAAGCAAACAAAAGTACAATCTGATTCATACGTTTCTCAAGTAATTAAAGAGATTGGTCGATTGAATTTTTACGTGACGTGAAAGCACCAAACTAAATCATTCGTTTATATTTAATGTAGCTCTAGGAACTTTCTCACTTTTAACCAATTACAAAAATACTTGCGGAAATAACTTCTTTCTTTCTTTCTTAGTTCGAATTACACCATCTAGCCGAAATTATAATTATACCAATGATTATTGACTTATATAATAATTTGTTTGAATACATTTCTGATTTGCCAAATACACGTTCTAAATTAATAAACATTTAACTAAAAAAGGGGACTGAAATGATGTGTAGGCAACATTTCGTTAAATGTCATAATCACGTTCAGCGATTGTCAAAAGTTGTCCATCAACTTTCTAAAAAATAAATAAAATGAAGCAACTTTCTATTGTATCTAATGTATAACGCTGTAATTACTAACCTTATTTACATTAAGTAAAGAACAAAATGAAAACTAAACTAATGTTAATTGATAAGGTTTGTGTTACCTAATAAAACAATAAACTTTAACCTATAAAATGCGGATATTTTATTAAAAGTCGTTTATGTTACAGATACTTCCACATAATATCGATAAAAGCAGTGTATTACGAAACCTGAAAAATGTTACTATTTCTTATAAACACGCTGAAAATAATTATGCAATCCACATAAATAAATCTGGATCCAACTTGGACGACACTGGACAAAATAAAAGTACTAATGATCTGTCTTTTAACGTAGAAAAAACATCTTTTATGAAGACTATACTAGAAAACATAAAATCACCTTTGCCAAGACCACTTGCAACACCAAAGAAAATAGTTATAGACTTCAGTTCACCAAATATAGCAAAGCCATTTCATGCAGGGCACTTGAGATCAACAATCATAGGAAACTTTATTGCCAATATAAATACATATTTTGACAATAATGTCACTCGACTTAACTACTTGGGCGACTGGGGTACACAATTTGGGCTCCTGCAATATGGATTAAAATCAAAGAATATTAATGTAAAGGACTTAAAAAATGATCCAATTAGAATCCTGTATGATGTTTATGTGTATGCAAATAAATTGGCTGCAAATGATGCCAATGTTCAAGAAGAGGCTAGAAAGTTCTTTTCAGATATAGAACAAGGTAGAATGAGCTTAGATAACTGGAAAAATATTCGAGAAGTCACTGTACATGAGTTAGAGAAAGTGTATCAAAGGTTAGGAATACAATTTGATACATACCACTGGGAATCAGATTATAATGGTGGAGCTATTAAACCTATTATGGATTTGTTGGAAAAGCAAAATATAATCAAAATTGATGAATCTGGAAAGAAAATAGCAAATATAAATAATAGAGATGTAACTGTATTGAAAAGTGATAACTCAACACTATATTTGGCGAGAGATGTTGCAGCTTTATTGGATAGATATAAGAAATATGAGTTTGACAGAATGTTGTATGTAGTTGACAATGCCCAAACAGATCATTTTACTGCAGTCTTTGAAATTGTTAAACAAATTGACCAGAAATGTACAGAAGGTTGTGAACACATCAAGTTTGGCAGGCTGAAAGGAATGAGTACACGAACTGGAAATGTTGTATTTTTGAATGACATATTGGATGAAGCCAAAAGAAAAATGCATGACAAGCAGGCTTTATCAAAAAGTAATGCTTAAACATTTGTACTCACTGTATTATACTTAGGTTCAAAATTGTCTCTTATTTATTTAGTCTCAAATCCATATAACTTTAAAAAAAACATTTTGGCTAATGCATATTAAACCTAGTCAGTTAAGATGTGAAAATAGTTTTTACACTGAAAGCATTCATTTCACTAATCACAATTTTACCATATCTTTGCAGATACTAGAACTGGTGCAATGAATGAAGAAACATGCGACATCTTGGGGACCTCGGCTGTCCTTATTAATGATTTGAAGCAGAAAAGGCTAAAAGACTACACATTTAGTTGGGATAAAACTCTTCAAACTGAAGGAGACAGTGCTATCAAATTACAGTATCTTCACTGTCGTCTTTGGAGTCTAGAACAAAACTGTGGTGTATCATTACCAGACTCATGTGAAGCAGAGTGCCTATCTGAAGAAGTAATAGGAGATGTAATAGCAGAATTGGCTAAATTCGAAAATACCCTTCAGAAATCTTTAGAAGAATATGAAGCTTGTATTCTTGTTAATTACTTATTCCGTCTCGCAAGACATGTTAATAGAATGTTTAACGAAGTAAGGGTAAAAGATGTAAGCTCAGATTTAGCAGCCCAAAGATTACTTGTTTTCTATTGTTCTAGAATAGTTCTTAAAACTGCCTTGCAGATTTTAGGTATAAGACCTTTGAAAGAAATGTAACTAGAAACGAAAGTTTTAAACTTTAAATATATCAATTTTATTGGCATTTAATAATGTTTTTTAATAAGTTCCCTGGTTATAATGATTCATAATAACTGACCTATCTCGAAATCCTTGAAGGAGGTTTATATTCAGTAGAGTTGTGAATGTCTTGTTCTTGTTGCTGTTATGATGATGATAGTAAAATAGTCAAAACTTACCAAAAATTAAAATATCTGGGTACAATATGTACGTATTTTCTTTTATTTATAGTGCCTAATTCGTTAAATAAATTTAATTGCGTTTAAAATGCGTGGGTGTTTACACACCAAGTAAAAACTTTAATAAAACTAAGCTACTGTCTGGTGCTATTTTCACCCTAACAATTTATTCCTTTTTGCGATTTGTCCTGCCTCCTGAAATTCTGACAAAGAATAAGAACTACAGTAAATATTTATTACCCATTTAGTTTTACGCCGACGTTCATAAGTTGGATATGCGCGTAATTTAGGTTCTATATTTTGACGATACTTTTTTATTTGTTTTGAAAACAGGCGCCATAATTTATATTTTCCGCCACAGCAACGCCATCGATGTTCGATGTGAATCATTTTTCCCTCCATTAAAGATCGATCGAAAAACAACTTCCGTATCCTCCTTCGGATAAGGTCACAGATAAAAATAGGTCGCATTGTAAATCTTATAAAAGTTATTAGTAATGATAGACAAAAATCAAATAATTTATTCTCAGATAAACATCCATCCATAATATGTATTAGTAGGCACATACAACTTAGCACAATGTTAGTGAGTTAATTAAGAGAGTGGATTACTTTAACTTCATGATCAAATAAAATATAAAATATCTTTTGTTGTTCTCCATACCAACTCCATACCTTAGAACCCATGCAGCTCTCTCGTCTGTGAAAGACGGAGGACACTGACGCGTAGGCTTGAAGAGTTCTATGTACGGGAAACTACATTCTTCCGCGGATTGAGTGTACATAAAATATATTAAACCAACACTGTGTTAATATGACAAATCCACCGAAAATGTAAAAAAGAGTTTTTGTCGATTTATTATAATATTCGGCCCGTAAAATGACAAGATTTAGTTGTAAACGGGGTTTTTATATACACGCAGGCAACGCTCGTATAAACACGCGTGTATATAGGATATAAGCGCGAATGCGCTTATATCATCAATGCAAACTAAACAATCAGTGTTTATGGCGCCGAAGACGCGTACCTAATACGCGCGTTTTCGTTTGGATGAAAAATGCCGTGTACCGTACAATTGGTCTAAGTTTTCTCATTGTGTATTTTCTCATGATGACTTTTGTTCAACTTTTAAGTAGCCATACTTAGGTGGGTAGGCTTACTTTGGTGGCAATAATAAAAAATAACCATTATTAAACAATAATAAAAAATGACACAATAAGTAAACCAAGTTCCCCTAACATCCCATTCTTTGATTAGTTACTACATTTTTAAAAGAAATCTTTTGATAATCAATGTTTATTTAAAAACTGGTATAAGTAGCGTATATAATAATTTGATACTTTTAGGTACAAACTGTTATTGAAACAGAAACATATAATCTGCTTGATTTTCAAAATTGTAACATAAACTTGACTTGATGAACTTCATGAATACACATTACCTTTCATTAATGCAAACAGGGTTGTGTACAGAGGTATGTGTATATCGGCTTGATCTGCTTACCCCCTTGAGGCACAATCATTGACTATTCTTGAAAAATTAAAAAAATAGGTAATCGAGTGATTTTCAATTTTTTTGTTGAATAATCATTTTAATATCGAACACAAATACACAATAATTAAATAAAAAGTCATAACTTGAATTCATTTATTTGCAGTATTTGCTGCCCATTTTGTAAAAGCTAAAATACTAGGTCCCAATCATAACTTTAAAACTGTAAAATAGAAGTTTATGGCCATCTCTATACCATAGACACTCTAGAGACACGTCGTATTGATGATGGCCACTCCCGATTTGGAGGGAATTTTTAAAAATCTAGTTTTGTTTAATTTTTTTTGGGTTCATGGATGGCACAAATAAATTTAATAATGATAAATAAGGTAATACACATCTCTAACTTAATATTGTTACTCAAAAACGTTTACATTAAAAAAGATTTTTCTATAAAATACGCTTTTACATGGAAAAAACATCTTCGGATTTCTTCGGCTAACTTCGGCTTCGTAAGCCTTGACGTCAGAATATTTCGACCGATCCTGCGTCAAATCGGTATTTCCGGCAGTCACGTGGTCTGCGCGGACCAATCACAACGCGTTCCTATACTCTATATAGGCCGACATTTTCTGACAAGCGTAGAAAAAGTTTTCATCAACAGCCGCCATTTTGCGCTGGAGAGACTGAGAAGAATTTCGGAATTTGTCGTGTAAATTTTCTGTTTTTTCTTACATCATTTTATCATAAACTTTACCATTCCGTGTATTTTAAAGTGTTAAGTGAAATCGTGTTGTTCGATATCGTAAATAAGTTCTATAAAGTAGCTAAAATCTGGTGATATTGTTTTCATTTATTGTGCTAGTTCCGACGGAAGATGGTGAGAGGGTCTGTGTAGCTCTTCGATTCGGAGCTTTGTAATGGCGAATACTTGAGTGAGAAATTATAATATGTGCCTTCAATGGTGCGAAGGACATCGAACGATCGCGATGTGGGTGAATTACATTATGATGAATGACAAATCGCTCTAAAATGTTATTTCTTGAAGATATAAGACATAAAAGTGTTTTTTAAATCGGCGGGCCGAAATATTCACGACGGCTTACGTTTAGTAAACAGAGCCATGGCCGATGAGCCGCCTAACAAGCGGCCTAAAATGATCCGGGACCCTTTTCAGGGTCCCTCGGACTCCGCGGGTGAGTATTTTATTGTTTTATTCGAAGTTTGCAAAGTGTCGGAACAGTGTTCTGTCATATTATCTTTCTTTGATTTTTGACATTTTGCCTTCGCTCTTGTTAGCGCCCCGCAAGTTTTGCGTCGTATTATTGTATCTTAGCTCGTGATATGAGAATATGATGATTTTACTCGATATTTTGTAACATTGTAATACAAAATTCTGATCCATTTATGTTATTTCATTGATTAAATCGAATAAAACGCAACTTTTGTAACTTTGTTTTAGGGTGTATATTTTGTTATTTTAGGCAAATATTTATTTTATTAGCATTAATTGTGGCAAATATCAGTGAAATAGACATTAATTTACTCTTATTTTTTGCAAATATCTTAATTTTTGGTTTAGGTTCCATTTAGATAAGGCATGACATAGAAGTCACTAACATAGCATTATTTCGCAATTTATTAAAAGAGATATGATTAAATATTAATAGTACAACTGCAAATTGCATAGAAAATATGTTAAATGTTTCGGTAATATTAGTTATTCATTCAAAACATTGGTTGACATAGAATGATGTTGGTGACCCACATTATGTTTTGGTAACAGAACATAGGTTTTTTCACCCATGTAGACTCAATAAGAATGCTACATTAGATTGTATGTCCACATGTAATGTATTATCTTATGTTGTGTAGACTGATAAGAACATAACCTCTTTTTTGCATGCTGACAAAATAAAGTGCAAGGTTAAAAGTATACATCAAAACATAAAATTCATCATTTGTATAGTTATTGTCTTCATCAGTATCCAGTATTCATATTGAATGCTCACTTCATTACCTTGAATTTTAAACAATATTTCTGGTCTGTATTAAAATATTGTAACATAGGATTATGATACAACTTGATGCAAGCTGTCAAACATTGATTGTTGAATTGATTTTCAACAAAAGTGAGTTTTGTTTAGGTTATAAATATGTAAATATTAATATTGATACACATGAAGTGAATCTGATTTGATAAATGGGAACCTGCTAACTGAACCAGAGCAACTTGTATATAGATTTCTCTGTTCCATAAATAAAATAATGTATTTTATATTTATTTAGAATTTAGAATTATGTTATTTGATATCTAATAATTAACTATGAATATTGTAGATATAATTTCGTTTATATAGTTTGAAATTAAATAAATTACGATTTTGTTACACAACCTTAGTTCAGTTTTTTTTAAGTAATTAATGTCCCAACTTTAATTACCAAAATAATAGGAACACTAGAACAGTCCACTCTAATTTAGAATATTGAAACATACTCTTAGTACAATCAAAATGAAATAGAGGATAAAATTATTAATACATTATAGTGATTATAATTACTCAAGACTTTCATATCAGAGCTAAGTTTTATTTAGAAAATCAAAAGAATTTTTTTTTAACCTAGTTATTATAAAATATTTTTTAATATATAAAGTGAGTATGTTGCTAATGGGCCACATGCTCCACCATAGGCCACATCACAAAATACCGCCAGGCTAAATAGTGGTCCATCAAATATATAAAAATTATCATTGTTTAAATATTCCATTCTATATCTACCTATTACATTTCAGAAATTTTTAAGACACAGAAATTAAAGATTTATATAAATTTAAATTTAAAATATAAATAATATATATTTATTTTGTCTAAACATTCTATATTACATCAAAATATTTATAATAGTAGAACATGTGTATGTACTCATATATTTAGACTGACACACTAGAAAAACACAAACATAAGAACTATCAATATAACAATTATTTACTATTTATTATTTATCATACACTAAATACTGTTGCACTTTCATTTTGTTTCAGTAGATGGGTTTTCTAACCTTGACATGTTCGACCTCGAAAAGGACCTCCCAGATGAATTGATGGGAGGTGCTTGGGGTGAACAGCCCGGGGTCACAGGCCCCAAGCCTCCCGCTCAGGGACCGGGCCCAGGGGGACAGATGTCCCAACAACAGCAGCTGAATGGAGATGATCCTACAGCTGCTATACACAGGCAAATCAACAATCACCTTATACAACAAGTGAGTACCTGGGACTGATGGAATTTTGACTAATTTATTGAGTGTTATAGGTATACATTTTAAACAGAATTTAAATTGTTTAAATTACAAATGTAATGATATAGACATAAACTAATTATATGTTGTTTTTTTAATATTATTCTAATAATTTCTGACTAATTTTAATTCAAGTTTCATAATTATCTGCCTAGAAAATACCATAACAATCATTCATACTATAATAGAGAATCTAATTAATGCATTTAAATTGGTCATTTCCGAAATCTATGATTGTTACTTCTTAAAAATAATTATTACAAAAAAACACAATCAATACCATAATTTATTTTATAACTACCAAAAAGTATAAGTTTGTTGATAGGCCATATTAATTGTGTATGTCGTGTATTGGTCTTTTCACAGGGCAACAAAGGCTTAGTAGGCCACAACAATCCGTTAGGATTGAATAATTTAGGTAGTAAGAGTCCAAACTTACAGTCACCTCCAAATGTGTCTGTATCCAAGGACCTCATGGGTGGCATGCACCCACAACTAATGCCAAATACGAGTCATCCAAATCAGCTGCACTCCACAATGCCTATGAGTTCAATTCAGGGAGGAATGAATGTTGCTACTGTTGGTGGAAACATGATAGTGACCAATAGCAACATGTCTGGCGCGGGTATGCTGGGCAGCGGAATCATCAACAGTGTCAACAAGCAACTCCCACTCATGGGCGCCAACCATCACGGCACGCCGCCACATCATCCACACGCTCAGGTACTGCAACTCTGAATCTAAGTTGCATTTCTTTCAATAAATTATTTTCGATAAGAAATAAATAATACATAAGCTGATTAATACCAGTCGTGGAGTTATAGTACTAACCAAAATAGAGTGCTATGAAAGAGAGAATGAGAATGAGAGAAATATTTCATTATTATTAGAAAAATGAATGTATGACATTCCATGTGACATAATGACGTATTTCAGCCGATGCAAAACGGGCCACTGAGTGGGCGCGTGATGGGCACCCCGAACATGCGCACGGCGCTGCAGCACCACCCGCGCATGCCGGCGCCGGGCGGCGGCGGCCACCCGCTGGCGCCCTACCAGCCGCCCTACGCGCAGTCCGCGCAGGGGCCCGGCGTGCCGCACGTGCAGCGCGCCGCCAACGCGCAGGGCGTCGGCGTCGGCGTGCGCTTCGGCCCGCCGGCCGACGCGGGCGGCGGCGGCGCGGCGCAGGCAGTGCCGCCCGCTCCCTCGCCGCAGACCCCGGGCGCGCCGGCCGGCGGCCAGTCCCAGCCGCAGGCTGCGACGCAAGCTCCTTCCTCGCAACCTCCGAACGCTTCGCAACCGCCTACTACCGGGTCTATCGCCGACCCGGAGAAACGGAAGCTTATTCAACAACAACTGGTGCTACTGTTACACGCACACAAGTGTCAGAGACGAGAGTCTCAATCTAACGGCGAGACGTGGCAGTGCACATTACCGCACTGCAAGACTATGAAAGGTGTTCTCAACCATATGATGTCGTGTCAGGTAATACATTTACTATTATGCATATATACTTTTTTTACTCTTTGTTTTTGGCTAACACTTTTGTTTATTTTTAGGCTGGCAAGAACTGTGCAGTACCTCACTGCTCATCGTCGAGACAAATTATCAACCACTGGAAACATTGCAATAAAAATGACTGTCCAGTTTGTTTACCGCTGAAACAAGCTGATAGGACTAGAAATATGACTGGTAATATAATCAATATGATTTTCTCATAATGTAGCTTAAACTTTTTCCAATATTTTACTGACTCTGAATTGTCACCGCAGCGGCAGCGGCAGTAACTCACACTACGGCAGGAGTGAGCACTGGCAACGTAGGAGGCGTCGGCGGCGTCGGGCCCGTGCCCGGCGTCGGAGGCGTCGGGGGAGTGGGCGGCGCCGCCAACAACATGGGCGCCGTCAACCAGCTGGGAGGCGCCGCGCCCAGCAGCGCGCCCCCCGCGGCCGCCGCGCCCAGCACGCAGGGCGCCGACATGAAGCGCGCGTACGAGGCGCTGGGCATCGCGTGCCCCACGTCCGTGGCCAACATGGGCGGCTTCCCGCGCGCGCCGCTGTCCCGCATGGCGGTGCCGCGCGCGCCGGGGCTGGCCGACCCCGGGCCGCCGCCGCAGCCCATGCAGGCCTTGTTCGCGCAGCAGCCGGCCGACCTGCAGCAGCAGCAGCAGCAACTGGTCAGTCTCATACCTCGCGTCTCTACCGGACACTCTTCCTTACGGTCACTATTTAACGGTTGCACTAAACTTGTGCAGATGGGAGGTCCACTGCAACTACCGGGCGGGACCGTAACCGCCAATCCTGTATCTGGCACCAAAGAGTGGCATCATTCTATTACGGCTGATCTCAGAAACCACCTCGTCCACAAGCTGTAAGTAATTTTTAATTGACTTAATAAAAAGTGACTCTCAAATTTCGAACCTATTTTTTACTTGGGAATTTTTTTTTAGTATTTGTAAACACCAACGCAACTATTTTGATTTATGTTTTTACAGGGTTCAAGCTATATTTCCCACTCCTGATCCGACTGCAATGTTGGACAAAAGAATGCATAATCTTGTCGCATACGCGAGAAAAGTAGAAGGCGATATGTACGAAATGGCGAGTACTCGATCAGAGTATTATCATTTGCTAGCCGAAAAAATATACAAAATTCAAAAAGAACTCGAAGAAAAGAGACAAAAGCGAAAGGAACAACAACAATTGCAGCAACAACAACAAGCTGCACAACAACAACAACAACAACAGCAGCAACAACAACAGCAACAACAGCAGCAGCAGCAAGTGCAACAACAACAACAAGTAGCCCAACTGCAGCAACAACAACAGCAACAGCAGCAACAACAGCAGCAACAGCAGCAGCAACCCGTCAGTGTGATGTCGGGCGGCGGCGTGCTGGGCGGGGTCGGTGGGGTCGGCGGGCCGCGGCCGGGTGTCGGCGGCCAGCTCGCCCGGCCCGCGCTGCCCGCGCTCGGCGCCCAGCCCGCGTTACCTACCATGCGCATTCCCTCGCCCGGGATCGCGCTCTCGATGCCTGCCAACCGCATGGCCTTCCAGTCCAACCTCGTGTGCCCTCCGGGACCCAGTCCGAATCAGATGCCACAGACGCCCAACGGTGGAAGCGTGGGCGTTGGCAGCGTCGGAAATCCGGGCATGTCACCGTTCGGCCAACCGATGACATCGCCGGCACCGAATTACCCCCCGATGCAGACGAACGGTCCGGCACCGCTAGCGTCTCCGGGCCATCCGGATGCGAAAGTTCGCCTATTGGGCAGCGCGGTGCAGAGTCCATTCGTGAACCACGCGGCCTTCGGGCGCGCAGATGCGGCGGCGGCGTCCCCGGCGGGCGGCGCGCCGCCCAGCGTGCCCGCGGGCGCGGTGGCGGCGGGCGCGCCGGGCACTCCGGCCACTCCGCTGGCTCACCCCTCGCCCGCGCCCGCGCGTCCACCTCCCGTGTCTTCTCATCTCGCCGCAATCACTGCTTCCGCTTCTGCTGATGACAGGTATGTCTCACACAATTTATCTAAAAATCTAATTTTAACCTCAACAAGCATTAAAATAATTATTTCATATATTGCAATATACAATATATTTTAATATATTTGCATTTTTCATCCAGTCCACCTCAAGACGAAAATCGCATCAAACAAGAGCAAGATGACGTCCGTGTCAAGGATGAGCCTGAAGAGGATTGTGGGGGTAAAGGAATGCGCGATGAAACTCCTGACAAAGATGCGGAACGAACTGACTTTAACATCAAGACTGAAGTTAAACCAGAGGTCAAACAAGAAGTTAAGGAGGAACCTGGTGAAACTAGCGTCGGTAGTGTTGGGGAAACTACGACAGGAGAACGTGGCGCACGCAGAACCTTTGTATTTAAACCTGAAGAGCTTCGGGTAGCGCTCATGCCAACTTTAGAGAAATTATTCCGACAAGACCCCGAGTCCTTACCGTTTAGACAACCAGTCGATGCGACAGCGCTCGGTATACCTGACTACTTCGATATTGTCACCAAACCTATTGACTTGTCCACCATCAAACTGAAGTTAGACCGTGGGGAATACAGAGATCCTTGGGAGTATGTTGATGACGTCTGGCTGATGTTTGAAAATGCCTGGCTTTACAATCGAAAGAATTCAAGAGTATATAGATATTGTACCAAGGTAAGTTTACTACTATTCCTCAACTCAACTCCTTACTCATACCACATAAGGACTTCAACACATCTTTTAATATGTAAACATTAACCCAGATGATGACCTTAACCATCTGAATGACCAATTTTATTCAAATTCATTCTGTACTTTTGCGCAACTTATGTCTTACTGTTCACGAGTGGCTTAAATTTTCACAAGGTTCTTAGTGAATCTTAAGTTAAGTTCTTGATATTTCCCGATATACAATAAAATTTTGTTTACTTATCATTTTTAAACAAACATCCAAGTACATTGTTGTTAAACAAACTAGTATAATTACAATATTGACGTGTATATATTTTGTTTTAGCTCTCAGAAGTGTTCGAGTTGGAAATTGATCCCGTAATGCAAAGTTTAGGCTATTGCTGTGGTAGAAAGTACACTTTCAACCCTCAAGTGCTCTGTTGTTACGGCAAACAGTTGTGTACGATACCACGGGACGCTAAATACTTCAGTTACCAGAATAGGTAAGCAATACTCCCTATTTTTATACATAAAAATATTAAATATTGTACCTACACACATCTAATTACAGTTCAATGTTGTTAGTAGCTGTTTCATTAGAATGAAGTACATGTTAGCATTTAGTAAAAATTCTGGGACATGGATTAGTAAAAGAATGGAGCAATGTATTTGTAATTAGTCATTATCATTAAAACAACCAATAGGACTATTACTACATATAAAAGACAAATTATTATTATTGCATTGATTTGACTTGTCACTCCATTCATTAGCTAATCTGTGTAAAAATATCAAAAATTATATCTATTTTTTTAATGTTTTAGTTGATTGATTTTGAATTTAAATATGATACACAAACATGTCAATCCAGCTTTATCCATTTTCTGACTAACGCTTTTTGCAAGCTTTATTTGTTCTTACTTGGTGTACCCAACTACTCACATTATATGGGCTATGTGACTAAAATACCCTCATTTTGTGTGTGCTAAAATGGTACTAACCAGTCTTATGCGTGATTAGACTTTAGAATAATTATTTCTCAGTCTATCTCACTTGTTAGGGAAATGGAAAATAACTTTTTATATCTTTTAAAAGCAAGTTATAGCTTTTTCAAGCTTATATCTTCTGTATTGTAGTTTTGAGGCTAATTTAAACATGTACAGCATAATGATTTTGCCTCACACACCCACAAAAACTTAGGTGAATCATTGTAATTGCTGCAAAAAGTCCCAAACATTGCAGTTGTAATTTTTATTAGTACAATGTATTTCTATTAACTTGATACTGTTGTAGTCTACATTATTGTCTATTCAAAAACAAACAGTAGTAAGAAAAGCAATATGATATATTATTTGATATTTTCTCTCGAATTCTTATAAAACAAGTTGATAAAATGATCTCTAAACCTATGTAAAAATAAAACAAAAATATCTAGAACTAATTTTGAATGAGGGCAATTAATGCATTCGTATCAACAAGTTGTATTGAAGTTTCGAAGTCAGTACAGCTGTCGTGGCATACTTGATAAAAAGATTGTGTCTAGTTGTTGTAACTTGAGCGTTGCTTGCTATTCGTCGCGAAACAAAAGGAATTTGAGATCGGTATTCATCGGTAAATGAACACCCATTTTGTCCATGTACTTACACTTTCTTCCGTTTAAATATATGCAAGTTTAAGTAATTAATATGATAAAATGCAGGGAAGAATCACATGGAAACAAGGATTGGTTGCATGTTATTCACTAGAAGAATAAATATTATATAGGTTTTCCTTTTTAATAAAATGTTATTTGATATGGTCTGAAAACGACAAACCAAAATCTCATGAAATATTAATAAAACAAAGGAAATCATCGACAAAAAAAATGTTCTCCACAATAGCTAAAATCTATCTTAGTTACTTCTATCTTTTTCTTCCGATAACTAATAAAAGAGAAAGAAAGAGCAACATAGTAACTTTAAAAACTATTCTAGTTATAAAAATATAAGTAGTTATTATTTTCTCAAGTAATAATAGAAGACAAGAATAATACACAACAAGACTCGTAAAATATGTCCATATAGTATTTAGCACCATTTGACTTCTCGATCTCGTAAAAATCAACTAGTAGATTCTGACAAATTTATTTGACATTGTATCGTTACTTGCATAGGTTTGTTAAGGTCCTTGACGATCAAAATAAACGTGTTTACTATAAACGCGGTCACTATTGATTTTATGCGGTAAAAATAGGTATTCCATTGCAAGTTTAGTTACATATAAAAGGACATTCTACAAATACACAGAGTGATGGGACTAAATATTACTGGATCGTTATTTCACCATTTCAATTTGTTTTCGTACAGAGACATGGTTTTTGTACCGAATATGAATTCTCAACCTTGATACTAAGATTATAAGGTTGTTTTTGACAAATAACAGTAGTATACTGAAATTGTTTAAGTAATTAGCACTTAATTGTGTTAGTATTTGTTTTGGTTTGTACGAAAATATTGTTCACAATGGATTGAGAATATTTTATGTTGTAGCTGTCTTTAAAATTAATTTAACAGCCTTTTCAAGTTTTAAAAGTTCTTCCAATTTGTTTTCTTCTTTAAAAATCGCAGAGCAAAAATCCCCTTTTAACTTAACCACTTTGTGTTTTGATAGCCGAAAAGTTATACAATAATTCTTGAATTTATAGACTTCCATAATTTATTTCCTTTCTTTGAAATATAAAGTTTCTATAAAATCGATTTGTAATAAAATAGATGTACAGACCATTAAATTGAAAGCTTCATCTAAGTAAGTAGTTATAAGTGCTGTTACACTATTTGACGTACAATTTTTCAAGGCAACTACAACACGTATTTATAATTAAAGCTAAAAGTGATGACTGAAATTCCTACGCGTCGTACACGCTTCGTAAACGCAATAGTTACGCAACTTGTATTACTTAGCCAAAACAATTATAAAAACTTTAATTTGGTTGCTAAATGAATATAGAACATTCACGAAGCCAATATAACTTTAATGATAAATCAATGTATGCTATGCATTATAATACTATGCAGTAAGTTCCTATCTGTGAAACAAACAAGTTGCACAATAAAATGACCAATCCGACCAATATAATATTGGTATAAAATTGTCATACTAGACAAGAGTATGTCAGTTACCTATTTATTAATATCCATTGTTTTGTTACATTGCAACTGTGTTACTAGATGTGATACTTATTATAGCATTAATTGTTCTCAATTAGATGTACTACACCCATTCTATTGCTCTCTTCTTATTTATTGTCTTTAAATATCAATTATGCTGCTTAAACGATTGGATTGTATTATGTGTTTGAAACTTTGATTTCTCTAGATAAATTATTCTCTACTCTAAAAGAGAAATTGTTGTTTCACATCAAAATTTTGCTCATAGACATATCAACAATATTGAGTATTTACAAGGAAGATTCTTCATATATTTGGAAAGATGGTAAAAATGAAATTTTAGGAAAAAAATTAAAATTGGACTTTACTCTCGGAAGTAAGAGCTTTTGTGAATCTACGATGGAAAAAGAGTATGATATGTCTATGTAAAGGGCTGCCGCCTCATGTCACGGGCTGTTCGTTAACCCATCATGTGCTCCGGCCACTGTCTAACTATTAACCCTTTTATGTTCTCATTGCTTACTAAATTTTTTTCGCCCTGTCCACGCACGTCCTTGCCTGCACACAAATGTTCCTGTACACGCTCGCTTCACATCACTACTGCTACATGGACGTTATGAAATAAAGTCTAAAAGCGTATGGGGTTGTCTCCGATAGATACACCTTCTGCCAGAAATGCTTCAATGACATCCAGGGCGACACCGTCACGCTCGGCGACGACCCGCTGCAGCCACAAACGTGAGTATCCTATATTTGTTTGTTTAATAACTATAACTTTTCTTGCTGTATTTTTATGTACCTAATACAATTAAAAAAACGTTTGGTTAAAGAAATTTCACACGAAGAATGATATGCGGTGAATATTTCAGTGCAATCAAGAAGGATCAATTCAAAGAAATGAAGAATGATCACCTAGAACAAGAACCGTTTGTTGTATGTATGGATTGTGGGAGGAAGCAGCATCAAATATGTGTGCTCCACCATGACTCAATATGGCCCCAGGGCTTCTGCTGTGATAATTGTTTGAAGAAGAAAGCGGCTAAACGGAAAGAGAACAAATTTTCTGCTAAAAAACTTCCTACTTCCAAACTTGGCATTTATATTGAAACAAGAGTCAATAATTTCCTTAAGAAAAAAGAGGCTGGCGCTGGTGAAGTGCATATCAGGGTGGTCGCATCATCAGATAAGGTGAGATTCATTTGTATTTTATTAACTTTGTATGCTGCATATTATCATTACAAGTCTTGTAAACAATTTTTTTCTACATTGTGGTTTTTATATCATTAAAGCTTTTTACATGAAACATTTACACCCAGCTTTTTATCAGCTTTTTTAATATCAAATAGTTCAACATTGCAACAATGTCAATTACTATTATGACTCAAACTTTGGTACATAATTTCTTAACTGTATCTAAAACGCTGTTACATTTCAGATGGTGGAAGTGAAACCAGGCATGAGATCGAGGTTCGTAGAATCTGGAGAATTGTGCTCCGAGTTCCCGTATCGGGCTAAAGCGTTGTTTGCATTTGAAGAGATTGATGGAACAGATATTTGTTTCTTTGGCATGCACGTGCAGGTGAGTCATAATTTAATACATTATTTTATTGCACAACAATTACATCTGTTACAATCACAACCAATAGACGATGTGCAATTCATAAGACATAGTGATGTACTAGAAGGTTCACTGAGCCTTAAAATGTACTTGACAAAGGCAGATCGAATCATCAATCAATTTAATAATTAATATACATTTTTCTAGTTATCAGTTTTCAATTTAATGTTAAAAAGAAACCACCTGCAGAATGCGTCTAAGTTTTGATTTTTAAAGGCGACAATTTAATAAATGTTTATATTTCAGGAGTATGGCAGTGAAAGTCCGACACCGAACACGAGGCGTGTTTACATAGCATATCTAGACTCTGTACATTTCTTCCAACCTAGGCAGTACAGAACTGCCGTCTATCACGAGATTTTATTAGGATATTTAGATTACGCCAAGCAACTGGGCTACACGATGGCTCATATCTGGGCGTGTCCACCCTCAGAAGGGGACGATTATATCTTCCACTGCCATCCACCCGAACAAAAAATTCCTAAACCTAAAAGGTTACAAGAGTGGTATAAGAAAATGTTAGATAAGGGAATTATAGAGAGAATAATATTAGATTATAAAGACATACTCAAGCAAGCTATGGAGGACAATATCTCGTCTGCGGCGGAGCTACCTTACTTCGAAGGAGACTTCTGGCCCAACGTCCTTGAGGAGTCCATCAAGGAGTTGGATCAGGAGGAAGAAGAGAAGAGAAAGCAAGCTGAAGCCGCCGAGGCAGTGGTCAGTATCAAGTATATGACATAAATTGATCTTTGCACGTGCTAACATCGGGCGTCAAGCCCTTGTGGATAACTTACACAGAGCCTTTATCGCTGATTTATTGTAAGGGACATTTGTGGTTCCAAAAACGATAAAAACTTGCTCAAAACATAAATGACGATTATTTTTAAAATTATTAGTTAGCATAGCAGTCTTTGAAGTTTATTCACAAACGTAGTAAGTTTCAATTTAGTGTGCTTTCAATATTTTATATAAATACGAAGAATATTTTACGCAAGTAATAATTAAATTGCATTTCGAAATAATCCTATGTCGGCGGTAAAGGCTCAAAATGACTAACTGCAACTGATTTCTGTGTGTTGTTGAAGTGTTACTAATTACAGCAGGGAGCACGGTTTGATGCAAGCACGAAAAGCCGAGTTTTGCACTTTTGAGTAATTTAACTAGCACTGGTTTTGGTATGAGACATGAGTAACATTATGCTGTGTGTAACATATGGTTGCTTGGGTTTGGCACGAGACAATATTTTCTAACATGTTTTTTAGATATTCCAGTCCTCTGAGGAGAATGAGCAAGGTCCTGATGGCAAGAAAAAGGGTCAGAAGAAGGCGAAGAAGTCGAACAAGTCAAAAGCTGCGCAGCGTAAGAATAGCAAGAAGCAAAGCGACCAGCAGCAAGGCAGTGATCTCAGTGCAAAGATATTTGCCACCATGGAGAAACACAAGGAGGTGTTCTTCGTTATTAGGCTACATTCCGCACAATCTGCTGCCAGTTTAGCGGTGAGTTACATTCATTCATAGATAAACTAAATTGTTATATTTTCTAAAAGGTAAAGTAAAACGTAGACGAATAAATAAAGTAAAACGATACAAAATCCTTCCAGATACAATTCTCAATTCTGTGTTATTACTAAACTAAGCTATACCTAAATATTTAGTACAATTTGCGCTATATTTTCCGCAGTCGCATTACTTAACTTTTTAAAAACTCAGTAGTGTGGTATTTGTAACTAAAATAAGTAATTTTTTGTGCAGCCTATTCAAGACCCTGACCCATTGATCAACTGCGATCTGATGGACGGGCGCGACGCGTTCCTAACGATGGCTCGTGACCGACACTACGAGTTCTCGTCAACGCGGCGTGCGCGTTTCTCCACCCTGTGCATGCTCTACGAACTACACAACCAGGGCACGGACAAGTTTGTCTACACCTGCAACAGCTGCAAGTCGCACGTCGAGACGCGCTACCACTGCACCGTCTGCGACGACTTCGACCTCTGCGTGCCTTGCCACGAGAAGGAAGGCCATCCGCACAAGATGGAGAAACTGGGTCTCGACATAGACGTGGGCTCGTCCCCGGGCGACATGAAGCAGGCCAACCCGCAGGAGGCGCGCAAGCTGTCCATCCAGCGCTGCATTCAGTCGCTGGTGCATGCCTGCCAGTGTCGCGACGCCAACTGCAGACTGCCGTCCTGTCAGAAGATGAAGCGTGTCGTAACGCACACCAAGATTTGCCGCCGCAAGACCAAGGGCGACTGCCCTATCTGCAAGCAGCTTATCGCGCTGTGCTGTTACCACGCCAAGCACTGCCAGGAGACCAAGTGTTCTGTACCTTTCTGCAGCTCTATCAAACAAAAACTGAAGCAGCAACAGGTGCAACAGCGAGTACAGCAGGCTAAGCTACTGCGCAGGCGCATGGCTGCCATGAACACGCGCGGCGCTGCGCCTCCGTCCCCGCCCCCTGCCGCGTCGCTGGCCTCGCCCCCGCCTTCTAAACCCGCCACACACGCCTTACCTCACAATGTGCAGAAGGCTTTGCAGCAGGTAAATACACGTCTTTAAACTGTTCTTATACCTTTGTGTTCACTTTTAAAGAAAAACATAACTTTCTAGATATTCAACCCATTTTAAATTTGGTATGCAAGCCAATTTGACTTTTGAGTAATGGTTACTACACCAAAGTTTTTTTTAAATCAGGTTCAGGAGGAGGCGGCGCGACAACAAGCGCCGTCTTACGGGAAGCAAGCAGCGATGGGGCCCCCGGCGGGGGCAGTCGGCGGAGTGGGTGGAGTCGGCGGGGTGAACGTGGGCGGCGTGGGTGGCGTGGGCGGCGTGGGCGCGCGCGGCGAGTGGGCGGCGCGGTACCGGGCGCCGCCGCCGCTGCACCACCCGGCGCACGCGCCGCACCACGCGCGCCTGCAGCACCACCCGCAGCCGCAGCACCACCCGCACCCGCACCCGCCGCAGCAGCTACAGGTACCGCACCACGCATCACACATTCTACCATTGGCCCGTGTCCAATATTACCACCACCTTCACTCTAGCGTTTATCCATTGTATACGTTCGATAAACGTACGCCCCGCGCAGGCGTTGCGTTGTCGCGGTGCCAGTGCAAGGGTAAATGTAGCGCGGCGCATTGCGATGCTAACGCCTCGTATTCATTTAAAATATGTACAGTTCATTATCGATAGCGTCAATCAATAATTGGGTAACAAATATAACACGAATGGAATCATCTAAAACAGCAAGTTCTGGTTTCAAGAAAGTAGACCTTGTTATTTATAAAATACGTAAATTCAACTTTCGTTTACCAACGATATATACACAAATATTATACTGAAAACAGTAACTACTATCCGGAAAATACTCATATCCGCCCAGATGTGTAAAAAGCTTGTCACTACTATGCAAGGAGGATGCGTGCCCCGCCTACTTATATTTATTTATTGTGGTTCTGGCAATTCATTGTTTACTACCAATATACAATTTTGATTTGTTCATCTTATACTTATTATATCTTATACTTTTACACTATTATATAAAGCTGAATTTTTTTGTTTGTTTGTTAGTTTGAACGCGCTTAACTCAGGAACTAATGGTCCGAATTGAATAATTCTTTTTGTGTTGGATAGCCCATTTGCGGGCTGGGGCGGTCCGCCCCGGGTGTCACCCCTCTACCTATAAAAATCGTAATTCTGTGGCAGATAACATAACCGCCACTAATAAAATAATCTAGGTAACTGTAATATTGTACCACGACCATAAGAAAATTAAATTAATTAAAAATAACTTGCGTTGCGGTCTACAATTACTGAAACCAGATTAAACAATATTGGTATTTTAAAGATAGAACATGAGGCAACACAAAATACAAATTTTGAAGACGTGATTTCGGAGTTCGCAAGTGTCAAAGCTAGAAGGAAGAAATTTTAATTTTTAACAAACTAAATTTGTTTCACATAATACGCAAACAATTGTAAAACTCATATATTAATATCACGTAAACGATTATTACTTTTTATTTTAAAGTTTCGATTGAATTTTCGGGTGACACCAACAAAATCCGACCTGGGTGCCATCTATGCTAGCTACGCCACTGCTCCGAAGTTTTCTCCCAACATTTCATTAATACTTTCATCAAACTCAAAACTTGTTTCAACAAAGTTACTTTGGTGAAGGTATCTGTTTGGTGCAGCTACTATTTATCTTATCAACGCAAAAGACGTCTAAATAGGTTATCGGAACTGTAAATAGGGTTTGTTAAAATATCTCATGTTGCTACATAGTGCAAATGAAATGTAAAATTCACCTAAAGGTACAAATTGAATGTATAATAATTTATGACTAGGTAATAAACATATCAATAACATTTTGTTAACAATCATAATGTCTGGTCAAAATTATCTGGAAGATATAAAAGATATAGCAGTAATAAAATTAATACAAAACCATGAGTAAAAAGCTTTAATTATTGTTTGAAGACACCTCAGACTTAACCTGAGGTGGCAAGTTCAGACGTATCGACATCCACATGTCGTAAATATAATGTTTCTAGAAGCTCATCGGTATTGTCTGTTTACAGCAAAGGGCGCCGGCGCCCACTCAGCAAGCAAGTCAACCGCAAGTTCATCAGAAGGCATTACAACAGTTAATGGCTACCTTGAGGTCGCCGACCAGCCACAACCAGCAACAAGAGATACTGCAGATTCTCAAGTCCAACCCACCCCTCATGGCCGCCTTCATCAAACAAAGACAGGTAATTATTGCATTTTTTCTGTCTTCGTCGTGGTCAGTATAATGTTGTCTTTTTAAAATTTTTCCTATTGGTTATATCATCTAAAGCTTTATTCAATCAGTTTGGTGTAAATCTCCTTTAATCATTTCCACTTTGTCTTACTAGGACACAACCCCATTGATATCATCTTTCTATCTCATCTGTGGCTAAGTTAGTCACGTTAACCAAAATTATCGGCACGGTTGGTGCGGTGACTGGGCAACTGGCTGCCGCGCAACGTGTCACGGGTTCGATTCCCAATACTTTGTGTAATCCACAGATTCTTGTTTCGGCTCTAGGTGTCATGTGTATGTGAACTCTTATGTTTGTAAACACACCCACGACACAGGAGAAAATCCTAGTGTGGGACAACATTACCTTTAAAAAAAAATTAAATTGGTTATTTAGGTTCTCACTGTCTCCACTGCCTTGCAGTACGAATCGTGTTAACGGATTACATGGCCACTCACTAACTATTGGACGAGGAACTCGACTAGTTTCATACTAGTCTAGAGACTCATATTCGAGAACAGCATTCCGCGACATACGACGTGGCGACTGTCGCGCAGTTACAGTTCATACTGATTCTTCTTCTATTATAACAAAGTAGTTCTCTATTAAAACCCTTGTTCTAGACGATGACATTTCGTTTGATATTCCAGAATGCCCAAAATCAACAACAGGCGGCAGGCGGCGTTGGGGGGGTCGGCCCTGTAGGTGGGGTCAGTGGTGTGGGTGGTGTCTGTGGCGTGGGCGGCGTGGGAGGCGTGGGAGGCGTGGGCGGCGTGGGCCTGCCACAGCAACAACCACAGCTACAGCACATGATGCAGCCGCAGCAACAGCAACGGTTGCAGCAGATGCATCAGATGATTCCGCAGCAGTCTCAGGTATGTACACACACATTTTAACTATAGCTTCTTATATGAAACTAAAAAAAATAAAAAGTTCCAATGTTAATGTATAACATCATAATTTTGGATTTTTAATTGGTCTATTGGTATAGGTACTCAAGACTTTTAATTTGATTCAGTAAAAAGACAATTTCGTTAGTAGTTCCATTCCAACCCAAAAAGACACCAGGGAAAATGGAATGAAGATACATGTTAATACGAAACTTCCAGGAGCTTGAGTCCCATAATTATGGTGATAACTGGACTAAAACAATGGGACAAACTTATCGGAGGCTTAACCCATGCATATGGAACGTAGGTCTACGCGAGACACGATTTATTTTCCGTCTTTTACAATTTTTGTTTAATAAAATAAACCAGTGGAAATATATATCTTGCATACGCACTAAAAGAGAAAATTAAGGTCCTCATAGTCGGAAGAAATAAAACGAGAAAGGTTCTAAAATGCTAAAATGGAAGACTTTATTTCATGGCCCTTCCTAATACCATTGGAAAAGTAAAAGCGTAGACTACTTTGCCACGACCTAAACGAAATAATGGATAAGGATCAAAATGTAAATATTAGTTTTATCAATCTATCCGATAAAGACGGAAAGAAGATGGAAAGGTGCAGTTTTGAGCTGGTAATTGGCGAGAAACTACCTAGTACTATTCAATCTCTTATTGGAAACCTGAGCCAACAGAGTCGGGCTACCACAAAATTGTATGCAAATAAATTAATGAAACCCTGAATTAAATTAATTCGAATCGACATTTTTATAATACTGTCACTTTATTGAATAGAATTAAGTTTTGAGTATGCATGTCTTGTAGACATTTCAGACCAAAAACCGAATGATCGGTTGGAAGAATTTATTAACCTCTAATGGTTTATAGTACTTGATATTTTATATAACCTTTGATGATTTAGTATTTTTCAAGTAGTAATAAAAATTAAATGTTGTATCAGGTTGGGGGAGTGACTGGCGTCGGCGGTGTGTCAGGAGTCGGTTTGAGTGGTGTCGGCGCCGGCGGCGCTGGGGTCGGGGTCGCGGGGGGCATGGCGCATGGCGGCGCCGGCTGGTTCAAGGGGGGTGTCGGCGGCGTCGCCGGGGTCGGCGGCGTCGGCGGCAACATGATGGCCATGCGCGGTGCTTACGGCGGCGCAGGTGGCGTGGCGGGCGTGGGCGCGCGCATGAGCGCGGTGGGCGCGCGGTATGCCTTCGGCGGCGGCGGCGGCGTGGGCGTGGGCGCCACGCGGTCCCCGCCGGCCACGCCGTCCCCGCGGCCGCCCACGCCGAGCGAGCTGCTCCTGCTGCGCCAGTCGCCGGCGCCGGTGGCTCCGCTGGCGCCGCCGGAGGAGCAGTTGCCGCCGATGACGCCGCAGGACCAGCTCACGAAGTTCGTGGAGCAGTTGTAGTGTACATAGTGAGGCGCGCGGCCCTGTACATATAGGCTAGCGGCCGCGCCGCACGAGTGTAACCCCTCCCCCTCGCTCGTCCCCTCCCCGCCCTATTTATTGATCGAGTTGTCGTTAGCGACGCGAGGGACGTAAATTAAGTATTACGATGACCGAAACGAGCGCTCAATGTACAAAATGTAAATATGAGAGGAGTACGTCCTGTCCGCTTCTGCGTAACGTAAGTTGTTTGTAGTGTAGGTACATTATGATACTTATTCTGTTTATTGTAATTAAATCATTTTATAATATAATTATGTGATCATTATAAAAAGTTGTTTCTATTCCCCTACATAAATTATTCCCTTCCTTTTTGTATATTCACGTCTGTAGGCTGAGAAGTCAGTCAGTAAATAGGTATTTAGAAAGCACCACAAAAATGATGATGACCAACGAAAAATGACTAAACGTATGGTTAACCACGTACGCCATCTGAGCGACTGAGGAGAACGTCATTCGTTGTTAAATTAATCTATATGAAAGTATGTTCTTCATCAAGCAAACATCAACTCTAGCTAATGTTACTAAGGTTCATTTTAGAATAATCACAAAAACTTGCCTTTTTGGAAGGTTTTTACTAAGTGTTTTGCATTGCGTCCTTGAATGAAAACTACATAACACAATTTAGACAATAAGACTAGGTAATAAATGCAAACTTGAAAATACCTACTTATTTACTGCACTGATGAGGAAACCGCACGAGTCTAAACTCGTGACTTTTTTGATGATTAGATATAGTAACAGATATCACAATATCGAATAAATTAGTTACCTATTTGGAGAGTCAAATAAAATAATTTAAATCCGGTTCATGAAGAAATGTCTTGACTGTTAGATAAATGTTCAATCCAATAGACGTTTTATGATTTATCATGTCATGATGATAAAAATAATGGTTAGTTGAACAGCAAAAAAATGGAAAAATAGGTAATGCTAGAACAAACTGCTTCCGATGCTCAAGGTCAAGTCTTGGAAGGAATCAATCAATCAATCAATCAATCATTTATTATTTGTAAAACATAGGTAACAAAAATACAGATCTTAAAGGTAAATTACAGTGCGCTATGTTCTGTCTATGCTAAGACATACAAATATATTTTGCAGTTTAAGTTAAGATACTTTTGTGGCTTACAATAAGAAATAAACATGTTACAATTTAACAAAATGTCATAATTAAAAAATGTCATAATTAAAAAATGTCACAATTAAAAAAATAATACTGTTAGTAAATACTGAAAATAATAAAAATAACATTGTAGGCAGGAATTTAATCATTTAAGAAATCGTCAACTGTGTAATAACATTTGTCAATTAAATTTTTTTGCAAAGTTTTCTTAAATTTGTGGACAGGTAATTGTTTTATTTGATCTGGTATTTTATTATAGATTCTAGGAGCAATACCAAAGAAACTTCTAGACATTAAAGCCGTTTTACATTTTGTGTGACATAATTGATTTAAGTATTTAGTACGCATAGGAGTTTTTCTGACGTCTGATAATTTAACAAACAGATGTAAATTAGTTTTTACAAATAGCGCTGTTTCCAGAATGTACAATGATGGCAGTGTGAGTAGTTTTAGGGATTTGAAAAAAGGTACACAACTATCAGTTATTTTAATATTACACATTGCCCTTATGCAGCGCTTTTGCATTTTGAAAACTAGATCTCTATTAACGGACTGCCCCCAAAAAACAAGCCCATATCGTAAAACTGAACAAACTAGTCCATGATACGCTGTTAATAAGGTCTCAATATTTACTTTTTTTGACAACTGGGAGAGTGCATATGCTGATTGGCTAAGTCGTTTGCATAATTCTTCAGTATGAGGCTTCCAAGTGAGTTTATTGTCAATCGTTATACCCAAGAACTTGATATGACTGACTTCTTCTATTTCGTTACAATTGTATGAGACACTTAAAGTTGGGTTTTCTCGTCGCTGATAAAAATGCATTACTTTTGTCTTATTTAGATTAATAATCAAATTATTGTTATTCAGCCAGTCAATGATTTCAGAAAGGGAATTATTAATATCATTTTGGTAAGTATGTGGATTGTTACATTCAATTATAGCAGTACTGTCGTCTGCGAAGAGGACTATTTTTTGACGTGTGACTTTAGGAAGATCATTGATGTATATCAAAAATAGCAGCGGCCCCAAGACGCTGCCTTGAGGCACGCCATAATTTATACGTCTTGGTTTAGATTTGTAGGTTGTAACCAGTTTAGTCTTAGGACAAATTCTAGTAACCTCTGTGCACTGATATCTGTCAGTGAGATACGATTCTACTAGTTTCAGTACATTTCCTCTGATACCGTAGCTATCAAGTTTTTGTAGTAAAATCTTATGGTTTACAAAGTCAAATGCCTTAGTCATGTCTGTGTAGATTGCGCAAATGGGATTTCTTTTATCTACTGATGATATGATTCTAGATATTAATTCGAAAATTGCCATATTAATTGTAGTATTTTTTCTAAATCCCTTTTGTTCGTTACAGAATAATTTATACTTTTCAAGATGCGTAAAGAGACTGATAAATTATTTTCTCCATTACTTTTGATAATATTGGTATTTTTGCAATTGGCCTATAGTTTTTAATATTTGTTTTATCATCTCTTTTGTGCAATGGTTTAATAATTACACTTTTCAGACCATTTGGGAATACGCCCTCAGTAATACACAAATTAATTATGTGAGTCAGTGGTGGCGCTATTACGTCCTTTACATATTTAATTACTTTAGTGGATACACCATCGTAACCAACAGTACTTGTATTTTTCAGACTATTAATTGTTTTACTTATGTCTTGGTTTGATACAGGCGACATGAACAATGATTGTGATGTTGTAATAGGAGAATTTGATTTATAACTTGGTGGAATGCCATTTCTAATATTACTTTCAACGTCATCAATAAAATATTTGTTAAATTCATTAGCAATGTCTATAGGATTTTCAATGATAAAATCATTTTTTTTATTTTCAATATGGAGTCTTCTGGGAAATACGATTTGGAGTTATTAATTATTTGCCAGGCAGCTTTAGCCTTATTGTCGGATGTATTAATATAATAGTTATTCTGTGCTTTTTGCGTTAGCTTCATTATTCTTTTATACAACTTAGTGTAATTTTTTAAAATCTGTTTGTTTTTGTGATTAGGGTTGAAACGGTACGTCCAAAGCAACTGCCTTTGTTTTTGACTGCAATATTTAATGCCGCGAGAAATCCATTTTACCCGTTTGTTACATTTAACAGTTATGATTTTATTAGGAAAACACAGTTTATACAGAAGCAGAAAATCTTCCATAAAGTTGTCATAAGATTCGTTTGCATCATTTGTGTTGAACACTTGTGAAAACCATAGACATTCCAAACAAGATTTAAATTTTATTAAATTTTCGCGGGAGATTTCTTGTTTTTCAATTTTCCAGGATTTAAGCAGACTAGTTTTTTTAGTGGGAATTTTAAGTAATTGTGATGTGTGGTCAGAAAGAACCAAATCGATTACTTGTGCTTTACATCCCTTTTGAAAGTTGTGAGCAAAGTTATCAATGCACGTACTACTGCTTAATCTAGTGGGCATGTAAAGTGCTAACTTTAAATTATACTGTAAAAGAAAAGATTCTAGTTCTAGGGCAATTTTGTTTTTCTTTAACACATCAATATTAAAATCGCCGGTTATGATTACTTTCTTCTTAGCAAAATTAATTTTTTTTAATATGTTATGTAGCTTTTCATAGAATACGCAATAATTTTGCTTAGGTACCCTGTAAATACAAATAATAATAATATTGTGCGGTATCATTTCTATTGCACAACACTCGAACACTCCTGAAACGGACTGTTTTGATATATCAGATATCTCTTTATACACATAACCCACCCTAACAAAAATACATGTGCCCCCCCGCTTTACATTTCTTGAGAAGTGGGCTGCTAGACAATAATTGGGTATGTTTAGTAAATATTCATAACCCGATTCAACAAAATGTTCTGTAATACAGATGACATCTACGTTTATTCCTTTATGTGACAGCTCTTCTAATCTCACTAACAGGGCATCCGATTTATTAATTAGACCTGCAATGTTTTGATGCAGAACATTGAGGTAATTATAGAAAAAAACGAGATTCCTCTTGTGTTTGGGTGTTTGAGAAACAGAGCGATTGAGCCTTTTGGGAGCAGTCAGCCTCCACTTGATCTATTGTTAATGTGCTTACATACAAAATAAGATCTACTAGATCTGATATCACAACTCTTATGCCCTTATAATTAAGATTTCCAAATAAATTGTATGTATCATGAGTGTAAGGCAAATTATAATTGGAGTCTAAAACATACGCATAATTATATGTTTCCACATCCAAACATAGCAAGTTGTTAAATGTATCCACTCGGCTATTAAACATTACATTTGTGTGCTCCATATATTTAAATGTCGGTAGGCATATAATAAAATTAGTGTGTTGCAATGGCATAAGTATTTCGCGGATAAATGTAACAAGATTTATATAATTATGTGTTCTACGGAAATCCTCTTCACCAATATAAATAATACAAAAATCAGAGTATGTGAAGTTTTCTACTTTTTTATCAATACCGTCCAGTAAAACCTTCAGACCACATTTAGGCATACGGTAATGACATATTTCACTATTATGTAAATTAGCCTTTTCAATAATATTATATAACCTATTTGAGATTTCGCTACTTATCATGTGTATTTTGTGCTTCGGAGACCGAAGACGCAGCGGCGGCGTCACCGGTGTATTTCCCGGCGGCGGCGTCACCAGTGTAGTTCCCGGCGGCGGCGGCATCACCAGTGTAGTTCCCGGCGGCGGCGGCGTCACCAGTGTAGTTCCCAGCGGCGGTGGCGGCACCAGTGTAGTTCCCGGCGGCGGCGGCACTGGTGTAGTAGTTATAAGATCGATGCGTTCAGTGAGAGCGGTGATTTCCTTTTGAGCAGCCTCTAATTGCTGTTCCAAGGATAGAATTTTCTGTTTCAATCCTAGTACTATTTCGTTGTCATTACTTTTGGTGCTCCTTCTTGATGATACTGGAGAAGACGGGGTTGAACACATGTTTTGCTTTGAGGGAACATGTTTTATTTTCTTGTTGTTGGTAACAGGACTTTCATATAATGAAGAATGACATAGGGATTTTAAAGTGGTAATTTCTATAGTTAATTTATTAATTTGTTTATGCAGGTCCTGGTTTTCTAACGAAATGTTTTCCATTTCGTTTTCTGTACTTTGAAGCTTGTTTGTGAGTTGATTTATGGTTTCCTTCATATCAGAGATAGAGATAAGATCTGAGATTGTTCCGTCCATACTTCTTGACAGTTTATTGGGAGTAGTGTAGGATTCATCTGATGTTTCACAGTCGTTAAGTACTTGCGAATCAAACAATGATGTGCTGTTGGGTGCGCTATTGGGTTTAGGTGCTAGGCATCGTTGCACCTTTGTGCTATGTAATAGTTCAGTCGGCGATGATGGTTTTATTGTTAGTTTTTTACGCAAGGTCACGTTGGATGCCTCGATGACGTCACCATTGTTATATCTCTTGTTTCTAATGCAAGCACTGCATCTCCAATTTTTTTTACCTTCAGCATCTTTGAGTTTGTACGTTGCTTCGGGGTAACCATCACAATCTAACTCATAACGATTATCGCAGGCGGAACAAAGTGCTGTTTTCTTTATATTTACCATTTTTTTACATTTATAACATCGTACTAGTGACGCCATCTTGTGGTAGTTGTTGAGTTTTGTTCCTTTTAAAATCAACTACTTTTTCTTCGAAATTTGTTTTTCTATTTTACCAATAAGAAACAGACTAATATTTTTGACAAATAAATCTGTTTATAAAACGTACAAAAAGTGAACGGTCTTTGCTGGGTTGCGAACTCGCGTCTACTCACACGTGCTCATAATACAAGTACAAGTCATGTGCATTCAGCCACTTGAACATACTAATACTTGACAAAATTAGAGTACTGTTAAGAGAAAGTTCTATTTAAGAAATATAGAGGGTCAATATCCTTTTTGTTTTTTTTATCTGTTTCGGCGGTTGATGTTTTTATTTTTCAAATCACTGTTAATCACTTTTTTGCACTTCTACACACATTCTAATTGTTATTGTCATTAGTTTTGGTTATTTACTAGTTATTTTAAACACAATAATAAGTTTATATACAAAATTAAATTTGTTTCTTGACTTTTAGGTCGGCTATGAGTAGCGAGTTTATGTCGTTATAACTGCACTATTTATGAGTTTTACTCTTGGATAACACTTGCACTTGGTAATTAGTTGTTAATTTGTTGAGGTACTTGGTCTTCATTAACTTTTATGCACTACTATTATTTTTAAAAGAAATTTAAATGCGGCGCGTCTACTTTTACGTCATGCTCGGTGCAGCGCCACCTAGCGGATAGCGGAAGGCACCAGATCTTGAAGAATTCCCTAACTTATATGAGCACCTTACAACCTATATGGCTATAGAGCCAGCAGGTGGCGTTGGTTCTAGCCAGTATATAGGACTGGGATGCCATCTTCTTTTGCGAAGCAGTCATGCTAGCCAAAGAGTATAATAAGTATAGGGGAAACGCTAGCTAAGGAGGAGGCGGGGCGCGTGAGGCAGCGAAGCACTGCACTCACAACCCAGCCGTCGCGAAGGCACTCCGGGCGTCGGGGAATGCGGGACGATCTCTGGCCACCGTAAGCACGGGCCTGCGGACGGGTAGCTCGCCGCCCGACCATAGCCAGACCTGAGCGCACGGCGCTGAGAGGCTAAAGAACCATCAGACCACCACGGATGGGGCCCAATAAGGCTGATGCCGGTACGGAGCCGCGGATAATGTAAACGGTTACCAGGGCTCCGGCTCGAAGTGCAGGCGGGAGAAGTCATTTGCTGATTCAAGGGAGGAACCCTTGAAAAAGCCAGTATATAGCTAGGTTTAGTTATGCAGATATTATCTGGTGGGTGCCAGTAGCCAGTAGGTACACCAATGCTGTGCAAATGGATAGCTTAGTACTGGTCTTGTCCTAGTCAGCATGAAATATTTAGCAATATAAAAATCCAAAGGGGAAAAACAACGAAATTTTTTTACCTGCCCTGCTTATAGGGGAAAAGGAGGCCCACTTAAATTATAAAAATGTTGTGTAAGTATCTCGCCTGGTGGAATAATCACCTCGTCGAATAGGGAATAGCTAGTGTCACACCATTGGACGTTGAATCTATGACAGCCGTGATTGGATATATTTGATCTCCTGTGACTAGTGCCATCTAGTGAGCAAACAAAAAGGTAGTCCCCGTTAAAATTTTTTTAAATATTAGTTTTATATTTCTTACGCGCTTTTATATACACATCATACTATGTTATGAAGTCCTAATACTTCGAAACAAATATGATGTACTTTTACTGCAACAGTATATTGAAGTTGAAGAATATATTTTTATTCAGTGTTTGGAAAAGTAGTAGTGACCTGACCTGTCCACCTCATCAGCAATCTAGTAGTGCGTGGATGGATCGTGTCCCTTAACTGGTATTAATCGAAACCTTTTTGTTTTTAGTCGTAATATCACGACTTATATTTCCCACACAGGCAGAGATGTGCACAAGGCGAATGCAGTATTAATTTCAATATTTTTGAAACGAAATGAAACTTTTTTATTTTACGATATTATTACGCTCAATGTAGTGGGGGCTGTTGAGACATACTATGCAAAAATTTAGGCTAGGTAACACTTAAAAAATAGTTAATAAAACAAAAAAATATGTAAAACGCTTTAATTAAATTCATGTGACAATGTTAAAATAAACATTTTAGGTATTTTAGTAATTAGTAACATCTTGCGGTGCTATATACCAATAAACTCCACATTTTACAGTACACGATATAGGAATAACTTCCACCGACACAAACATTTCAAAACTATACACGAAACGATACTTTATACCTTTACATCTTGCAATATAGTTCCGATATCTATATAATATTTATACAAACATTTGGGATCAAATTTAAAACGACGGATTCCCCAAATTCATTTGTTATAGACATGTTCACAATTCTTATATTAAGGCCTACAGACGTATTTATTTGAAACGTTGCTATCAACTTCTACGGGTCGAGCAATTGAAGGCGGTCTTCATGAGATCATAGTATGCAATACAGTGTAAACGATGATAGCAACGTCTCAAGTCTTATTAGGCCTAAAGGCAGTTCGTAATTTAGACGCTAACCCTATGAGACTGTTCATAAACCAAATAATAACTATTTTAATACAGTACAACATAATGGTTTAATAAATATAAATGGCACTTTTGTGTGCTCGGCGCTATTTCAATGAATTAATTCTCTCACAAGTCTATACCGACGATTTTTTTTACAAAAATATACATTTATTAAAAGATTTACCAACAGTCCCTTATACAAATATATTTCTCCATATAGTCATAACATTTTAAATGCAATCTCATATCCATTCTCAGTACATAAAGCTTCCAATATAAATGAAGGCTTAACAAAACAGATAAAGCTTGTTCGGATTTAAGTAGCAAAAATTTCATTATACTACTGCATATTTTAAAACGAATGTTTTTTAAAAATGCTTTGGAATAATTGACAATGTTATTTTTAAGTTAATCCGCAATGATTAGCACAGCTCTAAGCGTTACTGACGCGTGCTGTGTGTGTTTTAAAACTACATTATTTTTAAAGAGAATTTTCACGCTTCTAGAGGGCGCTAGTGAAACTTTGGCTCGATTGTCAAGTAGAATATTTACTATTATCAAGTCAATAACGAGTCAACTTATAACAGTTAAGCTGATTGGACTAATGGGACCTTATTCTTCACTAGCGCTATCTCGGAAACGCAAAATCAAAATCCTCATTCTTGTGTAATAGCTAATTACAAAAGAATATACCAACGTGTTAATAATGAAAGCTTGTTAATGACGTATCTAAATATCTTTGGCAAAGCAATATAAGCCTCACTTTACATCCAATTACTAATTTACATAATCCAAAGCATTTTTAAACATACAGCTATAACAATAATTACCATAATCCCATTCCAATATAGTTCATACACCAATGTTCTTACAAAAAACTAAAACAAACTAATAAAAAACAATGAACAAGTATGATTACAACAAAAATAATTTATGAGCGAAAGGGATATTTGAGGCAAATCATAATAATTATAATTTGTACTTGAGTAGAATATAAATTTATAACATGGTGAGGATGAGACGGTAAATAAAAAATAGAAAGTGATAGATCAAAAATGAAATGATGTTGCCCAAAATATCGCATCGCCATCGACACTAAAGGAACGAACTAATATCCACACGCACACGTCATTTCACCACAAATAAGTATTCCATTTATTTAGATCCTTAATTACACGTATTATGCACATTTCCTTATTTATTTTTTGTATTTTTTTCATCGCTTGCTACACATATGTCACTAATAAGTACCGAATATCAGGTGGGGTCCAGTAAGGATCGCAGTCGTCGTTGTAGCCAAAGTTATTGTGATTCTCCGAAACTATTGAACGCTAGTCAGGCCAATGCAATACAAAATAAGAATAATTTAAAACGAAGCCAGTATTTCCGAGAGATATTTTAAAATAATTAACATTGCCTCGCCGGCGTTGATTAGTCGTAGGACAGTCAACTACACGCCCATTACAAGAAATATAAATGCACAATCAATACAGATAATCATAAGAGAATAAATTAGGACAAAAGGTTAATTAAAATTTAGAATTTTTGTTGTAAGTCGATTTATTTACATCCCAATTTAATGTTCCACGATGGTTGCAGTTCTAGCGTGGAAGTGTTTGCAAGGTGCCTTCATACTGACTTGCACCTCTTGGTTGTAAAACTTATGATTGACATGCAACAATTTTATCAACTCGTAAAACAAATTCATTGTCGCCGCACATAATGTTGCCGCGACAGTAATATTAATTTAAATACTAATGGCATATCCGCGTCCGCGCAGACTTCAACATCGGTTGGCACAAAACAAAACGATTTTAATGTCCAAATAATGTTGGGAATGTGCAATAAATGATTAGATTCTCTTTACATCATTCATTTAAATTAATATGCCATCACTCAGTCTTTCAATTCGTGAAACTGTAAATATATAATAATATATTCAAAAATCCGCAATAAGCAACAGTTAAAACAGTGAAAATGATACAATAGATTTCATATATATACAGGAAAATCACGTACTCATTCCCCTCGGAGCGTTTGATTTGTGATTGAAGCCACGATTTTTAATTCTTTACATTTAATAAAAGAGAAAAATTAAGTAAATAAATACGGAGTCAATACGATCACAGTGTATCATCACTAAGCATAAATAAATATTACATATGCGGTCACTTCAATTTACATTAAAGAACTAAAATCGCAGCTTCATTGTTGTCTAAATTGTTTGTTAGCATTCAAATATTAAGCAAATTAAAAATTTATACAACATTACATTATAATTTACAACAGGATTATTGAAGGATATGCATGTTTAGACACGGGATTATTTTGTATACATTATGGACGCAGCATCAATATGATGCATAAATTGGAACTGACTTTGACTAAAGACTTATTTGACTATTTTTAACAATATTATAAGTAAATTCTACTTATAATACAATTGATTGTTAACATGAGTATTGTTTAATGTGATGTTTACAAACACTTAACTTGTATTTTACATAAGTTTAACTACAATGCCAAATTACGATAATTCAGAACAATCTTCATATTGCTGCATACAGTAACATATTTTTTAACTATATTCTAGTTTTAATTCCTTGTCTAAACACACATATCTTGCAATAACCTCACCAATATTTGACTGCAATTCCAAACAATTTAGTTCGAGTATATTGTACCAGTTTCTATTGATCCTTCTTTTCTTCGACAGGTGTAGGCGTCGAGGTGTCAGTCTCATCTGGTTCTTCATCTGAATAGTTTATAGGTTCCTCACCCGGCTTCAATAACCTCCCTACCAGGTCGTATTTCTCTGAAAAATTATAAAGATGATGTTAATTTTTGAAAGACTACTTTAAAATAATAAATAAGGTTCAAATACGAAACAATTGAATTTCATATTAAACTAGCTTTTGCCCGCGACTTCGTACGCGCAATCCCGTTTATCCCATTCCCATAGGATTTACAGGACATTTTTCTGTCATAAGAATCTTCTCCTGACAATAACAAACACAACAAAAAAAATCAGCCAAATCGATCTAGCCGTTCTCAAGTTATGGCGTGACAACGGGAAGCTGAAATACTCGAACACCACTCAATTTTTAAGGCGCGCTTAAGTATAGTTCTGTCACTACAAACTCTTTGTAAAATGACAGAGATAGCACGATATTTACGTACAACATTAAATTGAATAACCTTTCTGTATTCGGGCGTTAATTTTAAATTATTTATTTTAAAAGACTTGCACACACTAATGTACAAGGTGGGCTTAATGCCTAGGGCATTCTCCTCCTGCCAGACCTTTGGGTGATGCAGAGACAAAAACAATGGTCGATGCAAGAAGCAAGCGTATTTAAGACTCAACAGAAATACATAAAAAAAGGATAGTATAGACTTACATAAAATAAATCCCTGTATAAACTTACATGTATATGACATAACAATAAACTTACATAACTATATTACATATACTATTTAGACGTAATATAATTATACATAGTTAATCTCGTTTGAATATCTCTCGGTTGTCAACAATTAACCTTTTGGCAGTCATTGTAACGAAAGCAGGGTTAATACATACCGTGTTAATGAATTACTTGCAGTAACTATACTTATTTGAACTGTAAATTAACCTACAACTAGCCAGAACTATACTTAAGCGTGACCTAAAGAATCGCGTTTGAGTATCGTAGCGTAAGCCATCTTCATTGAAATGATACATTAATTATGGTCCAATCGGACTTTTAAAACCTTTTGCAAGATAAAAAAGTCTTCCACTGGCTTTGTTTTAGTCAAGAAGCAAAGTACGCTAGTCGATACACGACATCTTAAGTAATCGATTAACCAAGTTCAGACGATTTGATTGTCTCAAGTGGTCAACAGATTAAAAAACTTATTTTTTACTAACTGTTACCAGCGACCCGCGTAGAATATGAATTTTAGGAAATAACTTTTTTGTTACAATTTTCCATAACAAAAGTAACCTATATAACAATAAAAGCCCTGTCAAAATCGGTTCAGCCATTCCGGAGATTAGCCAGTACAAACAGATAGACAGACAAAAATTATTAAAAAATATATTTTAGTATGGGTATCGTATGTATATAAAAAGCAGTTATTTTAATATTTACAAACAGCGAAAATTGGATACATTTGTATAGACTCAATATTGCTCAATAGGCCACCATTCTAAGGTAAGCCAAATACCTATGCTGAGCTCAAATTGTGGTAGACGACTACTCTTAATCTTGAGACTCCTTTGTTCTTCGAGAACAATTAAAGTATGATGACTTTAACAAAGGTTCTAATTAAGAAAATCATAAGTACTATCGTCATTACGTGGAGGGCAGATGTAAGAGGTGGAACAACAAAAAATATTTTTGGAATTAAACTTTATGAGGTTGACCGCAAAAAGCTTTACAATGAGAGCAGTGGAAGGAGGGTAGGGAGGCCCTTGCCCTACAGAGGGACGATCATAGCTGAAAATAAATAAATAAACTTTATGAAAGAAAGAAAAAACATTTATTCAGCACCAGGCACGATGCGGCATAAATAAAATATAAAAAAGACAATAAAGGTGGAAGTAAGAAAAACATTTAGTTAAAAAATTAAAACAGAAGAATTACAAGAGAGACGTTGACAACATGCCTATGCTAAAAGGGTCACCCACTCAGTGTAAGCCAGGCATACAAGTCACCCAGCACTGATTAGAACTGAACTGAACGGATATGAGAACTGAAGACTTGAGAAAAGGCTCAAGACAGCCTTCAAATGGAGTTTCTAAATCTATAACACGTTATAAGTGTGGGAGAGCCATGCTTCGGCACGAATGGGCCGGCTCGACCGGAGTGATACCACGGCCTCACGAAAACCGACGTGAAGCAACGCTTGAGTTGAGTTTCGTCGTGTGAGTGAGGTTACTGGAGGCCCAATTACCCTCCCCTTCCCCAATCTCCCCAATCCCTGAATCCTCAACGATCCTCAAACTCCTAATCCCCAAAAAGCCGATAACGCACTTGTAACGCCTCTGGTGTTCCAAGTGTCCATGGGCGACGCCGATTGCTTACCACCAGGTGATCCGTCTGCTCATTTACCGGCTTATGCCATAAAAAAAAAACGTTAGCACAAAACTTGAATAAAATGTAGGAAAACATTTTACTCAAGTAATATTTATAGTCAGAGAACCAACCATATGGCTTCCACTCCGTTCTATTTTCAGATATCTAAAATCGATTAACAATATTCGAACAATGCACGCGGGAATATACATATTTTCTTCAAACTATCAAATATTGTAAAATGTATTGTTTTTTATTAAAAATATCTAGTAAAAGCACACTACACTTTTCTTTCTGGACTATGCTGTGAATCTCAACTAAAACAGACTGAATGCTTTAATAATTTGATGCTTCTTCATATCTGGTTTTATGTAATTTTGGCTAAAATGTATTCCACAATCCACATTCGGCCCTTTGTATTCAAATTCCACATTTTTTGTCTAGAAACGTCCTGCTCTGTGGTTTCGTTAACGGTTAAACCACTTTTACAAAACACCGAGTATACCACAATAGGAAATATGACACTACCATTTTTTGGTTACTATACATTTTTACCTTACAAACGTAACTTTATTCCCCTAAATCTAACTGTCGTTCTGGTGGGTGATTAATGGTACCAACGTTATATTTAAAACTTAAAATTACTACTGCCTATAATTAGACACAGTTTTCTGAACATGGTGAGTCGTGAAGGGTACTGAGAGGCTTTGCTTTTGTAAGTAGAACACAGGTGTGGTATAGCTACTGTAGTATAGTTGTTACCGTTATGCTGCAAGCTACAGTGGACGAAGCATGACCTACTGAAACTGGCTTCCTATAGGCTTACAGTTAATGTTATGAGAAAAAAAAGTCGACGACAATATAAGTCGACGACGTTCTTCTTGTATAAAAAAGGTGTTAGGAATAAGTTCTATTTTTCACCATTTACATTGCTCATAGAATTAAAAAATTAAAAAACTTAAGACTGCACGATTAAATGAGGTTTTTAGAGCAAAATTGTGATTAATCAAACAAATTAATAATAAGCAACACCTTGGAATTACAGAAATCCAGTACATCTTTGTGTTTCAACAGTTTCAAGGCAGTTATTGAAATCTGTTAAAATTATAATCGTCTACTATTTAGTGAGACTGGCCTCAGTTTTATCAGGCTAACACTTCATAACAATGTATAATGAGTTGTGCACACTTTAATGTCAGTCATTTGCAAATACCCTTACAATGTAACCCGAAGGCACCAACTGACAAAGTAAATACTTGGCGCCAAGTAATTGAGCAACTTTACAAACATTAAACAAAGCGGTCCCCTGTGTAAATCTTTTTGTTCAAAGTGAATGCGTGTCATTAGTGAGATTATATGGAACGGGCCGTGATAGCGGTCCGCGGTCGGTTGGGACGCGCCTTACCTTTACGCTACAACTGTAACCGCACAACAATCGATGGAAAACCAGGCAAACTTTCGGTTGACAATTTCAAGTTCTATGTGTATTGTTTTAAAGCTCATTATAAAATTAAATGAAATGATATTTATTTCTGCAAATAATACGCAGGAAAGAGATCAAAGTAGTTACAATATGTTTCAGTCGACATTATTAGGTTCCCCTTTTTGTCGTATTGTGCATTTTGTAGCGTTGTATGACGTCTCTTAATATCCTCGTTAGTCTAGAGGTCGTCATGCCGGTTAGACACGAATTGACTTAAAATATTAGGTTTTAGTTCCCAAATTCATAGCAGACATGAATGCATAAGGAAAAGGTGTGGTCTGTATTAAAAACTGTTTATATTTTAGGAAATAATCAGGCTTGGAATCTTCATAATAAGCAACGAAAGACAATGAATTTAAAACAACAAAAGAATTTATAGCAAGTAATGTAATGTTGTAGTAATGCGTAATTAAAAGGTATACTAAACATTTACGTTGTTAAAACCACATGAACGTGTGGGAGAGCCATGCTTCGGCACGAATGGGCCGGCTCGACCGGAGTGATACCACGGCCTAAAAGAACAGTTACAGGAGGCCTTCCCCGCCCCCCTCCCTAATCAGCCAAATCCCTGAATCCTCACGACCCTTAAATTCCTAATCCGCAAAATGTCGGTAACGCGCTTGTAACCGGGTGCTTCCGGTGTTCCAGGTGTCTATGGGTGCACTGATTGCTTACCATCAAGATCACCTGATATTAAGCAATCAGTATCACCGTATACCCGTTTCCCGTCTTATACCATAAACGAATACTCACAATCGAAAAACCACTCCTCTATACGTTAAAAGTTAGATTTGCAATTACATTACATAATACAGAGACAATAAACAATACAAACCAAAATTGGTACCAAGGTGAAAGGTTTTGCCAATTATAATTGATATGGCGGAGATAAAATTCGTTTATATACACAGTATACACACATAATATAACAATACATGATAACGTAAACATGTGGATAGTACCTACCAAAACATTATTATGAATATTGTTTAACACTTATCGTTCAAGACCAGATAAAGCGCACATAATGCCAAAAAAACAAAGAGTACAGATTAGAGATCAAGATACGTTTTTAGGATAAGGTGAATTTGATTTTAGAAGTCATCAAACATTGCTCTAGTGACCGAAATTGAATTCAAAGAGCACAATAGTCTTGTAACATCGTTCATGAATACATACGCCGTTTATTTATGACAAAGCGAAGCCTACACGTGCGGGTCACGATTGCCTATTTATATCGCAGTTTTTGGTTAATGGGAGTATGTATTCAGA